CCGTGTACTACCTCAATTTCAGCATTGGTAGGATCTATAACCCTGAAATATGATTGCTTGTCAATAGAATTGATCTCTAATAATCCCGTCATACATACATACCGATATCACGGCGTAATGGTGTAATGTACCAAACTTTTTCGTGATTACAGTACATACATGCTTCTGTCTCACTCAGCCATCCCATCGGTGTGATTGACTTTTACAAAATCCCCAACCAGACCAAGACCAGTTCCTTTTAAATAAATTTGCAAATTGCCATTTTTGTTTTTGTGCTGTGGGTGCCAATAATTCAGCCTCGCTCAATGAGACGGGTTGATCAGCAATAACAGATTTTTATCTATAATTTCATCTAATTATTGGACATTTTCGCAGTTGAAGGGAAACCTGATATTAATTACGTGACGAGCGACATGCCATGCACAAAATGTTAATCTTTAACTAAAGTGTTCTTCTTACTGGTATGTATAAATTCTTAAAAAGATATGCACGGACAATACGCTTCGTCTTGTTTTAAATCGTCGAATCTCGTAAGAATACAGATTTTATTGCCACTAACCATCGTCCAGTGTTAAAAAGACCATCGGTCATGAAGAATCGAAGTCAGTCAGTCATTAAAAAATTAATTGATTTGTAGTCTTGCTCTCTGCTCTTTATTGCACAGGCGAAATGAAACTGAAAGACCTTGTGTACAAATTAAGTAGGCAATTTGTATTGGAAATGTTAACAATTTGTTTTAATCAAACCATTTATCATTCTCCATTGTTCCTCTGAAATATGGTCAAACATCTGATTCGCCCAGGCAATTGCATACATTGTGCTTATGGCCAAACATGTTGGATAAAAGTTTAAGATGGAGTCGTACACCTGTACGTACAGATTCACCTGCATGTATGTAAATACATATGATATCTTATGAACTGGGCTAAAACTAGTTTGTGCAGATTTAACTTTAATAATATGTGCATAAATTATAAGGCATTGGACATTGAACAAAGTCTTCTTAGCCAGTTTGTCTGCAAATCGGACTCATTCACAACACGCAAAAATATTTATGAATGTGGAGAACGTTTAAGTATTATTTGCCTACCTGGCATTATTGCAAATAGGCAGTAGCATCATTGTTTGTTACGATTAGCTCATAAAATGAAGAGAGATGAGGTGCAAATTAGAAAAGTAGGGGTAAAACAGGGGATAATAGTACAATGTATTTTGACAATTTGTACGCTTAATTTTAAGTACTTTGTTTTCTTCCTGGAATTTGTTGTGTTGTTTACAAAATTCAAAAAACTTTGATATTTTCACTCGTTGTAAAAAGAAGGCTCACTCTTATTATTAGAGATGTATACAGTGCTGTCCGAGTGTTTTGGAATAAATCAAGTTGGATAGAAAGGAAGGTGGAGTTCATTATGTATGCATGGATTCACAGCTTCGTTTCTCCGTTCCTTATCCAGAAAGATTTTTAGAAGGCACTGCAGTTTCGTAGGCAGCATGGATAATTTCGGTATCATCAGAGTAGTAGTCAAGTTCTCTGCCTGCCTGCCTACCTACCTACTTACTACAACCTTACAGTCTCTTCTTGCGAGAGGACTATCGTAATAAAACGACAGACAAGACAAAGAAAGATTTATTCTTATTTTTTTTACTCTCTCGTAATTTGGAAAGATCCCCCTCGCTATTCTCAGGAGCAAACTAAACGCAAAACGACACCCCACACCTCCGTCCGTCCGACTACAACATCATGTCATTCCTCTCAAAGCAGAATGGTTTATGGGATTTTATTACCCTCGAGGTCTGATCTTGTCCAGGTGAAAAACAACACCTCTTTTTCCAACTTAACGAGGTATAAAATAAAGGCGATCAATATTTTGAAAGATAAATATCCATGTTGGGTCAAGTTTCTAATGAAAATAATAAGTGACACATATCTGTGCATGCCAAGAAATCGTCTAAATGCATATTCATTACTTCTTTCTTTCTGGAGTAGTTTCTAGTACAATAATCACACAAGGATTTAATTTTGTAGATAGTAAAGCAACTGGTGAACTTGAAATTGCCGTCTCGGTCTCATCAAAATCATTTGTGATTCAGAAATGCAGCTCACGATCTGTCTGGCTGGGTGTGTGTGAGTGTCTTGTCTTATGTCCTAACTAACCCACACTTGACTTGTAAAGTTGACTACATTTTATGCTTTTCATATTAATGAGATTCCAAGTCAATAGTTGCTCATAATTTGTTGTTTGGTGCATGGGTGATACGAAATATTTCGTATTCAGAGAGTCGGGTGCTGATTAGGCTGCGTATCTACAACATATTCCTGCCTGCTATCACAATAATCAAGATGAAGAACTGAAAACAAAACCGAGACACACACATATCATATCAGTCTCGAGACTCGTAAGAAAATGATGATGAGACAATCCTCGACGCGAAGGGATGAAATAAGTTGACGTTAAAAAATGAAGAGGAGAAAATTAGCTGACGATCGAGAGAATGAAAAAACAAGCGGACAGACAATTTGAAATGTAAATAAGATCGAGACGAGGCGGAGCAGTGTTCATATCCAAAAATTACGCAAACTGATGAATTTATGGGAAAAGGAGGAATCTCGAAGCGAAGACACCCTAATGTCTCAAAGGAAACCGAATTGAATTAAACCCACTTCCTCGTTTTTGTCTACTGCTGCATAATATTTATGCATTTCCATCTCACCGAGTTGGACTGGGGTTCAGGAAAGAAATAAATTAGAAAGCATGTAAGAATCCATAATTAATTACTTGATCGGAAGTGTTGGAAATTTTCATAAAACGTGTGTAAGTGTAATCCATTTTTAATTAATTAACAGATGTGTCCAAAAGTTAAACATTTTGAATAGGAGAATAATCGTCCATTTTTAAAACGATTAGTGACGACAATATAATAATTTGATGATACAATAATCGAAACCAGTGTCGGTTCTCATATAATAACTAAAAAATCCGTATATTAAACATACATATTATTGCCTTATGTTATCTCATCCCTCGAAATTGGACGACTCTTCGCTTCACTGACTCTTAATCTATTTAATGCAGCTAGATTTTGAGAATTAATAATAAAAGGTATCTAGGTAGGCATGTAAAGTTAGATGAAAGTGTGAGATAAACCGTGTGTTATTGCCATCCCACAACCACAACCATCACCATTTCATCCAGCCCACAAAAATCCAGTATCTCATGAAGTAGTAGTTCCTTCCCAATATGTTTAGTTGGATGGAGGAATGGGATAAAAAGGGTTAAAAGTTGGACCCCAAGGTGGAAACCGGTTCTATATTCTTCAGACTACTCGGACCAATTATGACAAGTCTAGAATCAAGAGGAGTGTGTAAGTAAGAGACATCGGAAAAAGCGTCGAGAAAAAATTCCTGGTCTATCATCATGTTCTGTGTTCGTACATACATAATATGTGTTGTGATATCTTGTCTCTCAACAAACGACGACGAACGACGACTATAATATTAATACAAAGAATAAAAGTCATCATCATGGCCGTCCGTCCTTCCATCAAGACAGGAATTTTATTTGATTGCTTTCCTTTCCTGCTTACCCATCCACCACGACTAACCTGTGGATGAAGAGGGTATTGAATGAAAGAAAAAGCCTCCCACTTTTAATTTAAAAAGTCAAAAGTAGTCATTTTCCAGTGAGACGATGAGAGGCAGTAATAACTACTTGAGAGGAGAAATCAAAATAAAATGTGGTATTGTTGAATCGAGATGAATTACATTGTGTTACAGATGACCATGTAAAAATGCGTATACTTTAATATATGTAAGCCGACTATTTTTTTGTCATTGGTCGAACCGCATTAAAAACTTTTGTAAAATTTCGACAGTCCTGTCCTCTCCCTTTCAAAATGCTTTTACTGAAAGGTTGGTCTTCGATGGGGCTCCATAATTTTCTTCAGTGAAGGAGAAGATACGATGCGTAAATAAATGATAGACACGACGACGAGTCGAAGAGCGGATCTGGAAAAGAGATTCATATCATGTTGTCTCCATACTGTTTACATAAGACAAGCCAGGGTGGGCTAACTCCTGTCCTGCGTCAATTCATTTCCCTCAAGAAAACACTTGGACACTTGGTCCTGCTCTTTTTCCTTGTCATCTTTACTTAATGTCATGTCATATTTTATACTTTGTGCTACACTGAGCAAAAAATGGAGAGGAAAGCCTTTTAAAGCGTGTAACATCAACTGAACAGTTTGTCGGGAATAATTTAAATATTTGGACTTGATGCAGATAACTTTGACCATTTTACAATCGTATTATTACATATCTATTATTTTCTAAACCTTGTACGCAATAATGAGTGCACGTAAAATGAAGTCGCTCCAAATAACGCAATGCTGCCCCATCACACACATCATCACGCCATAAATACCAACAGAACCTCTTGCAAAACAACCCCGAGAGAAAACAAAGGACACCCTTTGTCCATCTCTCTCTGGCTGACTTTTTGGTGGAGTTGACTCAAAAATAGAAAACTGTCCTCGAACCTCAGCGACGGCTCGCTGTTTATTTTTGTACTTTAGCATTCAGAGAGAAAGAAGGAAGGAAACCCTTTCGAATGAATATATGGACAGTTTACAAGGCGAAAAAATGTGTGGGGATAACTCAATACTTAATGATGGTCTTAAGAGAGTGGAGAAGCTTAAAATTTAATGAATGACACAATCCGTATGGTCAACTCTTGTCACATGTTTGAGACAAAGTGACGTAAGTCATTTACACGCTGGAAATGCATACGTAACAAGCACACACACTAATCCGAATAATAATAACACTACGAATTCTCCCAATTTTGGGTCAGAATGACGGAAATGTTTAATAATTAGCGTGTCAGCTTAAACAACGCGACATATTTTCACAGCTGTCGTTCCTTAAAAACATAATCTTGTGCTAAGTGGTTCAGGAAGTTGTGTAGATATGATGTGAAAGTTAAAAGAAATTGTAATCTTACCAGGTCCATGTTGGAAATGGATGACGGATTTTTTATGTAAGAAATTCTCGTCTAATTTCGTCCCTCGTCAGAGTTATCTGAAAATTTAGATTTACATATGAATTAAAATTAGCATAGGAATTTCAGCGTGATGTAATCCAGTACAAAATGTGCGCATTAAATGTCTCATCTCTTGATGATATCACTGATTTTTGTATGTGTGATTTGTCCAAGTGGGATTAAAGAATTGTTGCAAAACCAAGGCAAATCCTATGTAGATCAGAGGTGATAATTATTTCAGAGGACTGTCGTAAATAAATTTGTTCAATCCGCAGTCGTCTCATTGTCATTAAAAATCTGGTCTGCAATGCATGAAATGTGTACATTTGGACCCGCTATTTTTAATCAGCAATCGCACTACTCCAATGAAATTTAATTTCAATTCAATCCACCCGGATTTAGATTTGAAGGTGCGGTCTCTTTGGCTTTTGTCGAGCAGACTGGGCCATCGGTCAACTCTAACAGACAGCGTAAATTTCCCCACATTTTACTTGTGACATTTTACTCTGATTTCGTCCACCTTATCATAAGCTGTGCCTGGAATCATTGTAAAGCTGCTAGTTGACGGTCGAACCTGGCCACTATCACCATTATTTTACAACGACATGACAATTAACTAATATTTAACAATGTCGAATTTTGTCCTGATGATATAAAAAGTATCATAAAATTTACGGATCAAAAGGAGCTTTGCGACAATTTCTATGTAAAAGTGTTGTCCTTTCTTATCAAACTTTTGATATCAAAGTCAAATAAACCAATTACATGTTTGATGTCAAATGAGGTAGCGTGCGATGTACAGAGGAACATGAAGTTAGTAGTAGTATTTCTCTGTATGTTCGTAAATATTTGTTTGTTTATAGATAAGTAAGTCGACATTTTTGGTCGGTACATTTGTCCGAGAGTGCGGCTTAATTGTGGAAAAATTATCTCATCATATCGCATGTCACATAAATTAACCGAAATCAAAGGGATTATGTACTTGTCACCCTGCTTGTCACGCCAAGCTTGAAAAGAATGCAGAATCAGCATGCATGACGTGTTTTACACCAGCACTTACATATGTATTCAATTCTCACAGTTTTATGATGCTCAACTTTTGGCCATAATATTAAGTATTATTCTGTTTATTTATCAGAAGCAGATTTGCTTTCAGGTGAAATAAGTAGATACTTAAAATCTTCTTTTTTTAAAGTGGACAATCGAACAAAAGCCACTTATCCAGATTTTTGTCACTTTTAATGGAAATAAGATGGGATTATGGAGGGTAGAAGATGCGACTACGACGGTTACTGGTGTGCTAATCCAATTGTAAACTTTACTTTTATGCTCAGAGAGAGAGACCTAATTCTATGTGTACTTATGGATTATCCTACCTTTAAGTGTGTACACACTAAAATCTAAAATGTCATAAAGTCCACAAAACCAAAATCTGGATTTGAACCTCACTCCAGTATATTAAGCCTTTTGACCAGGCTGCCTGTTGTTACCACCACCATTGTTGTACTGCTGTCAACTTTCAATGTATATAAACCCCAGCGTAATAATAATGTGGATAATAATGGAAAGCTATCTTATGATCTATTGCGCTCCGGATTTTGCCCATTGTTAAAACTTTATTGTCATTAGTTGCTCACTTTACTGGATTCATGGACAAGAGTGGTGGGTGGAGAGCACTAATTGTCATTTGACTCGCTCTGGAATATGTATTTCCACATTGCTGAGTACGCTTTTATACGTGTGATCATACAAATTTAACTCACAATATGCATGTATATGCTCATTATTCGAGTTCTGGTGTCAGTTGGTTTGACAATAACATGGCTCTTTAAGTGTGACCTTTTATTGTATTAACTGCCGCATTGTGACCCTAGTACCAACTTTTGCTGTTTATGCAGCTAAAAGTAGGTATATGGACTGGAACAGCATTAGAAATTGATAGGGATCAACATCAGCGGATTTCCTGCCACTTATATTCGGCTCGTTTAAGTGTCTCGCCTTGATCAACTCTAAGATAAGTTTGTATTTCTGTGGCTCTGTCATTCAGGTAAATTGGAGCGTCAATAAAAAAGACGACAGATAATAATAATAAAAAATGAGAGCGGTCAACTTTAAAATTTTTGAGGGATTCCAGTTCCTAATTGGCTGACTACCTACACAATTATGGGAAATATTCTGCTCTTTTTTCATACCGCATTTTATACTCTGTTATGTACGTAATGTGTCAAATTGACACTGTCCATGTGTAAATATGTATCAATATTTTGTTCAGAAATATATATAATTTTTTAAAAATCCTTACCTTTCTCTCAGTATTTTCGATACATTTGCAAATTTCTCCACTTGACCAAAATTGTGTTTCACTCTTAAACCGAAGTACAAACTAATTTTCTTTATAAAACGTGCCGTGTTATTAGAATGCAAATCTAAAACGGGTCTCAAACTGTCTCAATTTTCTCTGAATTCACTTTCACTCAAGAAAAGCTTATATTTTTTGTGACAATTTCTCCTTCTCGTCGTCTCGACAGGGATGTCGCAATAGAAAACGTGGTAGGACCGATTCTTTCACCACTTTCGGATGAAGATGCGATATAGAATCTCACTTCTCTTGGCTACAGCCAACTGTGAACTGAGTGAGCAGGCCGTGTGGTTACGTTACCATTACTCGCCCAATCTTGGATAATAAGAGTAGTGGCAACCAGCGGTGGTGGTGATGGTGTAACATTACACATGTTGAGAGAAAGGCAAAATGTTGTGTTATGCAATACAAGGAACGAGCTGGATGGAGGGTGGAAATACTTTCCATCCAAAACTACCCTACTATTCTGTCTCATCTTCCAATGTTTTCTGGTGGACTGGACCACGATTTCGAAATCCCAAGTTCACAGAGAGATGCATGCGGAAGAGGATGACATGAGATGAACAAGGATGAAAAAAATATGCTCTTTAGTTTTCATTTCATCCCCATCTTGTGTTTTACGGGGAAAGCTTTGTTAACAAGAGAGAGAAAAAAAGTTGTCACAAAATTTTTGGGATAAATTTTAGTAAAAATTGTGAAACGGTCTAAATAAAGTTATAAACTTTAATATGCGATGTTGTGGTATGGATCTGCACAGTGATCACGGCAGGATGAAAATGCACGCCCAAAAACAATAAGTGCTGATAACTGATCGCATTGTCCTCATTGTGATCACCCTTTTTCTGCAGAAAAATGAGAAAATTGCCTCTGTACAAATGATGGATTATGACATCTAAATACCAATCTGCTCTGGTGGGTGGTTTGGTTGCTTTAGAGGATGTTCAGCTTCTGTTGCTTGCAACTGGCTGAAATAATCCATCGACAGAATTGGCCATGAGGGGTCATCATACACATTTTGTGAGTGAGTTGACACCAGATTTTCTTCGGTGTGCAACAACTTGACTTGTTCTCTGAATGTGTGATTATTAAGTTACCAAAACGTCAAAGGAGAGAAAATCGATACCTACGATGGCCCAGTGTACGTAATAATAAGAAGGAATCAACCGCTTCGTCACTGTCGCGTCCTGACAGCAGTTGACGCTTGACTTGGAGTCATATCAGGCTAAAGGAGGAAAGAAACTGTAATGCTAAACAGATGATGAGGAAAATTCTGAAAATATGTACGTACATATCCCACGAAACTGCATAATTGAAATAAATGGTGTTGGTGTAGTTAGTGGTGGTGGGTCATATTAATTCTTGAAAGTCGGAGGCGTTGAATGTGTCACAAAAGGCTCCAATATCACCACCACCACGTCGTCAGCTTAAATAAACCTTGGAAAGTCAATAAGATTTCTTATTCTGGTTTATAAAGAGCATATAATAATATCAGTTGCATATCTATGAAACAATGTACAAATTTCACAGGAAGCATAGACGTCTAGTTTACTACAATATGTAATTTTGTTGACTTGTCCTCAACAATATAACTTACTTTAATGCTATGTAGTAGACTGTCTTTAAATTCACTATATAATTACATACATACGCCGATAGTAGTAAGCAGAAAAAAATGTAACAAGTTTGGCTCACAACAATAATTTGCTGATATAAGTTATGTTACACTTTTGTATCAGCCAGCCACCCTCATCATCATAATGAATAATGTGAATAATAACCATTGTTGCTCGTCCACTAAAATATTCAGAATTGTCCTCTGGGCGAAATCAGTATAATTTGACCCTTCACAATTTAAAGATGGTAAAAAACGTGTACTTATAAAAACACAAAATTTTGGTCATTTATTGTCAAGAAATGCACACTCGTCATTATACTCGTCACTTGAACTTGTGTGAGAAATAATGCACACTTTATTAATTGACGAACTTTGCCTGATCACAATCCCAAGAAGAAAGAAAAAGTCGTGAACTTGAGGTTTGCAGACGACAAGAGATGAGATTGAGCCGATGGGTGGATTGGATGGATGGACAGGTGAAGGAGAGACGAACTAGCAAATACGAAGAAAGGACAACCTATGAGAATTCCCAGTTTTTATGACACATTCGTAATTACATGTCTCACCTCTTGACTCGTTTTTCGAGACTGGACTTGCGACTCTGCCTGCAAGTAAATTTCCATTTTTCTGAGACAATAAAACGGAACAATGTTATGTTTTTGGTGATTTGTAACTAAAATTCACCTGGTCTGGCCTGGTGGCATTTGTACATCTGACGTGACGCTTATGGATGATGGAATGGACGCAACACTAATAAAATAATGTGGTCCAGTTGTTGTGTTGTTGTTGGTGTATAAACTTCCTCCCTTTTACTGTACATTTTATTACACTAAATTATTGTGCTTTTCTTCATCTACTTCTGGCCACAGGACGAGAAGAAGAAGACGAGGAAAAATTGCAGAATGTTGGCTCTGCTGGACCATTGCATTGTCCTCTTAAATCATGTTGAGCTGACTTGACAAAGCTCCAAAAGACCCACCTCGAACATTAACCTGATCATCAGGAACAATTGTTATTGCGCTCATGTACATAGCTCCAACCTTACGATATTCATGCACTCGGAGTCGCAGTTCATTTTGCCTTTCTTCTTCTTTATACTGCTCAGTTATTACAAAACCACGAAATGGAGTGAGAAGAAAGACCGTGTCAAATAGTGGGATGGCGAAAGAAAGAAGAAAAATGTCGCGGTAGTTTACTATAATTATTATTGCTTTGCAAAGACAACCCAACCAAAAACACCCAGTGAAGAGTAGTCAAGTACCCTTTGTGCTAATGACGATAATGGATATTTGTATACAACTCCTCGCAATAATACCTATGATGACGAAAGTAGTGAATACTTGACTTTATGATCTCACAGTCACACAGGTAAGTCCTTTTATGGCCCAGGTCCAGTCGTCCTCCTAAAAATCGGACCTGTTAAAATATCTGAGCCGTATTTCCCATGCGAATGCATTGATTATAGCACCACATTAAATCAAAATGGTTGGTCGTACATAAAATAATTAATATTGCGACTAGTAGAAATTTTATCACTGATTTGCATAAATTACACAAAAATATTTAGTTAATGAGTCGTTATATATTTCTACTCATCTCATCAAACCTTCCTTGTGTCCAGTCCACCATGCATACGAGGGAATCAGTCTGTTTTAGCAAGCATCTTCCTTGGCGTGGAGTTGTTGGGTGGAGGCGACATGATTAATGGGTTCAACTTCAGTGGGATATTGGAACTTTTGAAGGTCACTTTTGACTCGACTGCACAGATACAAAATTTAAGGTGAGGTCCGTCCAGTTCAGGATCATCATGACGTCGTATACTTCTTGTACGCAATTATTGACTCGGTCAGTTTTGCCTACAATAGGACGTCAGGTTTGTCGTGGTACTTATATAATGCATGCTGCAAACTATAACCTAACCATAATGTTACCTGCCAGCCTACTTGTGTTCTATTGTTCCATTCGTTTGAAAAATTTGTAGAACGAATTGTGTCATTTGTTTGTGAGTTTCATACCGCGCAAAGACGATGATGATTATGATGAAGGTTTGTTGGTCGTGTAGTAAAAGATGAAGAAGTTGGTTACCTGTTGTACATACCTTTTGGATACTTTTTGGGACGGTGGGTGGGTTGGTCACCCGTTCATCATCTATTTCCTTCTTTCCCTCTCTTCATGCTGTCCGCTGTTGACAAGTGGACAAGATTTTTGGGCAAGATGTGAGCGCTACCACCTTTGGCGAGCACGGGTTCGTAGATAATGGGTCGAAATAAATAATAATGATAAGCTCAGCTTTGATGTTAAGCGGATTTTTAGTAACAAGTGCCGAAAAGTTGTTGTACCCATGTTGTAGTTGAATTCTACGAAAATTTATGGAATCGACAAGTCAAAAAGTTGGATAGTTTCGTGGTTTTCTAATCGTTTCTTTGGGATGAGGTTAAAAATATGGACAAAGGAGTGGACAAAGGGTATGAACACTGTCCTTACTTGCTTAACCAGGTAAAATGGGACACTGATTTAAAAAATAACGATTTACAGCAAGAACAGCAGTAGCATGAACCAACTGGCTTAAAGGAGCATTATTTAAAAAATAATCTACAGAATTGTATTGTAACTGGTGTGACACTAGTTTTTTTCAATCCTTATTTCAAGGTTTAAATTAACTTTGTGATCTTGTACATGTATTCAATATAGCAAAAAATACCGTGACTAAACAATGCAAACCAATTAATGAAATGACAAAGTCTCTCCGTAAGAGATCCCCCACAAATAATGACAAAAAAACGCCATGAAAATTTGTACAAGCATTCAATCCGTCGGTTGCTTTCTTTTTTTGTCTCTGCTGCTGCTTCTGATGCACCAAATAATTTATTCCATGCGTTGATTTACTCACCTCTCGTCTCTTATTGTCTCTCTTGGCAAATGCATGCAACAAAGATACACACACGCACCTAAACACTGCATATTTAGAAATGCATAAACCGCAGCAGGAGACAATAATAATGAACAATGGATTACACGCTGTATGTCCTTCCTAATGACGATGGAGAAATGCATTATTTAAGCTTCCACAGATTAGTAACAATACTTGCTTCTACGTGTATACGACCGATGATGGATCGTAATGGTTGGCGATCACCGCCGCCGCCGAAGAAATTATCGCTGAACAAATGCTGATGGACCGTTCCGTCTTGTGAAATTATGATCAAACCAGCAGCCACGTGCTACGGCAAGCTTTGGCGTATGGAGGAAAGAATCGCTTATGCAAATAAAGACTGGAAGCGTGTTGATCGACATTTTAAAATCTGCTACACCCGACCAGACCAGACAAACTATGCAATAATAAGAGTTCACTTTTATTATTGGTTAAATTTCATCATCATCATTGGGTAAGCATGTAGCATACTGTTTTCCTAATGAATGTCACACCTGGCTCCACACTAATCTCCAGAATATGCATGAATTTCTCATTTATTTTGTGTAAATTAGAGACATGCTTAATCATCAGAGTTCACCAATCCGCCGTCACTTGAAATTAAAGCGTGACACACTCGTCGTCTCCCTGAAATGATTATAAACATCGTATCGTAAGGTACGAGAGCGAGGAGCAACCCTTTCCGTTCTTGTCATTAAATGTTCTTGCCTTAGCTTGACTGCGACTAATTTGGGTAGGATGACATATGTATTGCGAGCGGAATAAATGATAATAAGAGAGCAGGAAAAGAAGGCCAAGATAAAAAATTACTACAAACAGTGTAATAAATAAGAAGATCAAAATTTAAGAGCGGGAAGGTGCAATATTATTTACGTACGTATCTTGAACTCACAGGACGCACACTTAATGAGTAATTTACGGTTGAGGGGGGCAGAATGAGGGAATTTATATGGTGGAAGTTGGTGGGTGAGATTCTTTCTCCCGTATATAATTTATATACGTACAAGTATTAGTAAAGACGGATGAAGGAGAGAGATAGTCGACGTCGGGGAAAGCTGCTGTGGATCCTTTCTCCTCAGAGAGAGTGGAAGGCACTCAAGTTGTAAATACTCATTTGAGACGGAACATGAAACACTCGGGTGGGTTGAGGACTAATTGCAGTTTTTTGCGTGTTCCCCCTCCTCGATTCCTCTTAGAGGTCTTTAGGGAAGTCTTTGGAATTGTTTTTCATCCCTTATTCATATATCCAGCCTGATGAGGCTTTTCAGCCTGTGTTTACTGCAGACTAAATTTGGTGGAGAAGTTTGGTATGCAATTTCGTGAGAAATTATAAGGAAGGAGTGACTTATACATATCATTTTGCAATAATATTTTGGTATTAATTTGGGGTATAAATTAACATTTTGATTTGTTGGTTGGTATACACGTCAAATCAACTATTTAAATATCTTGTAAATGACAAAATGGATAAGATTACAAGTGGTTATCATTCCTCGATCCTTATCATTTATAAGCTACAGCTCAATAAGTATATGCCGCCGATTGCGTTGAGCCTGACTTGTACTTTCACTTTAATTGGCATTTCACTGTATTTTGGTTACTTTTGGTAAACTCTCCACTTTATGAGATTCTCTCACTCTCTTTCCCATCCTACGAGTCAGTGGCAATCACACTGGGTTGAAATGAAGTCAAGTCATGACTCACGATGGATGGACGACCAAGAGTAAAACCAAAGGCGATCAACTACTTTAGGTCGAATTGAAGATCAAAGCTGTACGATGTGGATGTGGTCGGTCAGTCTTGATTTAGTTTCACTGGTAAGTACGTAATATTGTGGGTTTGATCTATTTCTATTTATTGGCCATGGTGTAAACAAGAAACCAGGAAAAAAGTAGTATTAATGGGATGTGATACACACCAGGATTAGCACATTTACTTGGAATGTGTTCAAAATCCATGTTTTTACAACTGGAACGTGCACACAACAATGTAGATTCTAGAAAAAAAAGTTAGTCGTCGTCGTTTTTTTCATAAATACCATCCCGTTGGAAAGTACATACACAGCCAGATATTCATGCCCTTTACCTGGCTGACCTAATAATGATCATACCCAAACTGTAGAAAGGAATGCCATAATCTCTCATCCTAATAATTTTCCTCCTCTCTCTCGGAAAAGCCACAACTCTGAAATTTACGACTCTCTCATCCTCCTCCCTGTCCTCGGTCCACACTTGGTTTATGAACTTATCTACGACACACACATGTTGTCTTGTCCTTCTTTCTTCAAGTGTAGTCAGTACACTCAGGGGCGACATAATCATCGTCATCTCATCAGTGGTTTTGGTGGTATATGGGAGATAAAAAATGACAACTACAATGACAATGATGATGATGATGGGTTTCACTTTCTTGGCTGCTGCTCCCCAACGACCAACCGTATTCCATCCATTTCTTAAGCATTTTTATTCCTACCTTTGTCTCTGCCCTGCTTGAAATCCGAAATTGGAATTGGTCGTAATGGGCTTTGCTTTACGATCGTCGTCTTCTTGTGTCTTGAGAGAAATAAATGTGTGAGGTCGTATGAACGTATAATGTGACCATATGCTACATAAATAAATACGTATGTCGTCGTCGTTCCTGTGGAGGAGACGAAAATTACTAGGACCTTCATTATCGTCATCCATTGTCCCAAAGCTAATTTACCTGACCGACTCTCCTGACAATTTTCGAGATGAGAGAGTCCTTTTTCTATTTTAAGGGAGCTTATTCATTCGCTGTCGTTTCCATTGTTCTTATTTTGTCTCATCGCTCTTTCGCCTCGACACTGTAATTTTCATTGTCACCCGTCATGCACGTTGGGCTTGAGGATTGTATCTGAAATGTGTTTGAGTAGGTGTGATTCGTGGTAGGTACTCAAATTAATACTGGAATTTTTAATTATGTTTCTCTCCCTCACCCTTTTTATACATTGGTTACATCGCCGTCCTTCTTGAGAGGGTATGTATTGTATGCAGTAGTAGAAATAATGATAATCCATGCCCCCAAGTTGTAAAGAAATGCGAGTATATTATATTTATGTAGGAGAAGAAGTCACGGAAAGCAACCTTCTCTGTCGGCTCTTTTGGTTAAAAATCGAAAAACTAGAGCTAAACCCTCGAATCCTGTGGAAATCTAAAATGTCCAGAATTGACAGTCTCATTCCCGTAAATATGGTCTTCCTGGAGTTTCGGAAACCTTTCAACATTCACCACAACCATACGATTTTGCCCCATGGGGGCACTACTACGAAAAAACAGAGTCCCCGACGATCGAGGAGTCATCTCCTTTTCCTTCTGTGGGATTAAAGGTCACCATTTTTACAAGTAAGTATTCTACAACATTAAAATTTTACTCAAAATTCTGCAATTTCAAAAATTTAGCATATTATATTTCCATGTTATAATTTTTATTTTGCTTTTCTAGATACATACACATATCAGACAATATAGTAACATCGGGTCCAATCTAATGATTCGGTGGGTATTTATGTATTAGGCTCCAGGCAACAACGACCATTCTTTGTTTTCCTTAGCGTACTTACAACAAGGGTTTGTATGACTCGTTTAAGCGGAAAGTGTTCATCAGGTAAGTATTGGTGTTGTGTTTGTCTCTTTTCAAAATCTCATCACCTTATGCGTCCATCCATTCCATCCTATTGTGTGGGTAGAGGTAGATAATATCTCCAAGAGCCAGCACGGATTCGTCTCATGAATCCGAGATGGAAAGACAGAAAGGTAATTACTTGTCGCTTACTCGATACAATACGACCGACAGAGGAGAGAGAAACATTTTTTAAATGACAAAGAACAAGGGAACAAGAAGAAGAAGATCATCGCAAATTACATACGTTCGTTCGTAGTACTACCAGAAACACAATGGATACCGTCCTGGATAGTGGTTAATGATGATGATGGCGTGGATTGTGTGGAGGTAAGGTGAGATGATCACTAATGTCGTCATGAAGTGGTTTGTTTCTGTTGATGGTTAAGTTACGTGAGTGGAGACAAAAGACATTACACACCTTGTGGACAATCAACAACTATTATCGAGTTCTCAGCTATTCTGATGATTACGTAGGTATTTATGATGAAGGTGGTGGTCTGGTGGTATAACTGATTTGCTGCGTTATTACACAATATTCAGTTCATTACAAGGTGGGTTGAACACGAGATGATGAGCCGTGGAGAAGAAGAAGCAGGGAGAAAAGTCGTTGGCTAGTTTTTTATAAGGTTCATCAAAAGAATGTGAAGAAACAAGTCCTGGGCACGTGTTTTTCTAACAAGATGGATAAAACGTTTTTATGCAGTTTTATCGTCAAGTTAAATATACAATTGAATCGATACATTTTGTGGATAAATTGTAAAAATCAGTAAATTATTCTGCTGCTATTTGTCCGAGTGGCAAGTGTCCTCGCAATATTCCCAAGTTACGTGACACGGGGTGTATTCCTCCACGTCGGACGGCATCCTCAGAGCAACTGTCCATATATTTTTGGTTTTTTTAAATCGTCTCAAAATTTCGAAATAATAATTTCTCACCTTGATTGACACAAGCGACGTACTCACTATCACACCATTTCACGCAATCTTTCGGACCTCCATGGACAGGTCCGATGATCTGGCCAAAAACCACTAAAATCACTGCCACGATGACGACAGAGTTGGAAACTGATGATTTTCGTTGGACCACCATTTTCACAATTTGGATTATTTGAGTTACTCGGTGTTTTAATATTTGTAAAGGATTTAGAATTTTTATAAAGTAAAAGATCCTTCTGGGAGAAAAACGACCGTATTTATACGAATGTTGTCGTACTACTAATCTGCATTCTTCTGATGAGGTCAAGGATTGTCTGCCAGCGCAGCGAAGCAGTAGAGTTTGTCGCTGTTCTCCAATACTAAACAGAATGACCCATGAATTATGAGCTGTTAATATGTGTAAATGTCTGTTATTTTTATCATCCATATAATGGAAATGGCTTAATAGAGTTTAAGAAAGATAAATGGGATTTTAATACGTGTTGATTAATGGTCGACGTCGTGTTGCATTATTGAATCTGGAACATTTGACTCTATTCATATATGCATTACAGCAGCCAAAATAGCAAGTTGCAAGCCTCTCTCAATTCTCAAGATGCGGAATCAGTATAAAATAAGATTCTGTAAAACTACTTATCGAATAAAACATGGATTGATTGACGTGACGCGACACGCATGGATTTGGGTTGACGTTGATATTAAGGACAGCAAGTTACGTCATCATTCCGAAGATGCGTATGCATTAGATTTCCAAGCCTAGTGGTCATATCTATGCATATAAATTAGGTTTATGTACGTACATACATATGATTTTATTACCGAGAAGTAATTACAGAATGAATACGTACGTGAAATTGTGAACCAGTTCCGTGCGATTACTCATCCCTTAATAAAAGAAGAATTGGACGAGATGAGAAAGAGGTGGACAAACAGAATTGGTCAATGACTATGAAATGCAGTGAAGAGGAAAACAAAGCAAAAAGTGTTAGAATTATGACTCTGTCCTAATAAATAATATGAGCTGGGGGGCGTTCCTGATGCCATGTCACCCTTGCCTAGCCTTGGTTTTCCTCCGTACTTCCTTTGACAGATGACCCAGCCAAAGCCAGACGGTGGGGATGAACATTCTTTGAAAACTCCAAAACGAAAACAAAAACTCATTAATGTGTGGCCAACCTTCCAGCCACGATTTAAGCCCACGTTCGCATATGACGAGTTGAACTGCATCTTTCAGACGAATCCTTTATTATTTTTGTAGTCATACCTGAGTGGACTGTAAAAGTCAGGCGATCAAATCACCAACCTTATCACTGCAGTAGCACATACATAGTTGCTTTTTGGTAAAATGGTTTCAGATGCATCCCGGACAAAACTTGGTGAAAAACTTGATTTAAAATTCTTTAGAGACAAATTGCCAGGATTTTTAGTGCAAAATTTGAAACTGGTCGACAACTTCGTGGAAATTATTTTGCAAATTATTATTTCATACAATTATGCGTAATAATAAATTATAAAATTTGTGCACTCGCTTTAATAAGCAGGAGCTTCATATTTATGGGTGCATATAATTCGCTAACATTACACGAAGTAAAGACATTTACCACCTCATCAGATATCATCGCCGTCTTTAAGCATAGTTGTAGGCAAGTTGTTGTTTTGTTGTCTTTTCTGTGAATCGAATTTGATTTACGAGATGAAACTGATTTGTATTGTACCAGGAACATATTAACCAACTGTATTTCTCAGAAGAATGGAGATATGCTTCGTAGATATCCCATCCCCACCTAAAAGAAGGTATAAATTGCACAGAGTACAAAAATGTCAATCATCCCAAAAACTTGAAACCGAACCAATTTTTCCAAGTCTTCAATTACCAAACCAATAATTACATTATATCAAATTGGTCATCCTAATACAATTACTACTACCAAACACGGGTGTAATATTCTACCATGAAAAATCCCAAAGCTTAATAAATCTTTAAAAACCAATCTAAATTCTGTGAGCGTAAGTAGGTAACTTTTTTAATGAGACGAGAGAGTCCCTCATTTTTTAAAAAGCATGTTTGACAAAGTTTCATCTCCTCAAAGAAGAAGTAAACTGCCTGCCGCCGCCTGTCGCCCGACCATATTAAAGCAAAACATAAAATAAATAACTCATATTCACCCTCATTCACCGAACACAAAAGAAAGGACGACGACGACGACTTTGAAATACACAATTGTATTCATGGACATGGTTGTTGGTTGGTGAAACTAGTATTCCTTTACGCAATCCTAGACTTTGTTGTACGTACTTACATACATCACCTAACACTTTGAGTTACAAATGCAATCCAGAAAATGCATGTTACATATGTCCATATGACATACTGCAGATGCCTGTTTGTTGGTCGGGTGTAGTTCAGTTGAGTTACTTACTCATCCTCAACTTTTGGGTCATTATAGCTCCAGACTGAAACGAATTGTTTTCAGTGAAGCTATTGTTGTGATGATTCTGCTGGTGGGTAACACACATTAACAAAAGAATAAAGAGCACTATTTTTGACTTGGCTCTCATCTCTGAAATTTGTGAGGAAAATAAGGACTAAACGACCTTAAAACCGAGTCATTCTTGCCTTTTCTTCATCTTTTAATTGCTTCCATTTCTCAAGAGGTTATTATGAAATTGGTGGTGCGGGTTACTTACCAGCATTGTAGTTGGGATTGATTGCTGTATGTCAGAGTGAGACTGAAGTCATGACCACTAGTAGCAGATGGATATGTGTCATATTAAGAATAGGACCCAAACCTTTGTAACTAATCTATGAAATCTAGTTCATTTCGGCTAAACGCGACGAATATTAATGTTTAAATATTTATCTCCTGTCCTAATTTTTAATAACAATTTTAACCAATATTAATGAACATCCCTCCACCAGCCGCACCTTCATTAAAAATATTTATGTATGCATGCAGATGATAACAATAGTAATGAGACGTGTATTTGCTCATTATTTTTATTTCAAAATTGGACCATCTCAATAACGAAAGGGTGAATGGTTGGTTAGATGGATGTGATTTTGTATCTTTTTGTCCCCCTTTCCACAACAACGACGGGAGGTCTGACTCCCAATTCCCGGACAATAAGCGACACTTGGCTGGACTCTGTTGTGTAGAATGAGAGATTGAATCTAATCTGATAAGCGAAGCAATCCGACCCTACTGTAACATCATGTTTTTTCTCATGTTATTGTTGAAAACGAGCATGTAAACGGCAGCTCAGAAAATAATACTGCTAGCTGGCCGAGTAAGTAATGGGATTACACGTAATATTAGCTCACCAAGGGAGGAAAAGTGACAAGATTAAAGTTTTGATAAAGTAAGTAAACAGATGAGAAAACGGGGGACGCGATTGTGATGACGCGATAAAAAAGATGAGGTTGATTTTTTTAGATTGATAATAATTTACCTACGCTGAAAATTTCAATTATTATTTTTAACACTATGAATGAATTGATATTAAAATCTGAACTGCATGACATAATATCGTCTCACATACAAAACGTTTGGTAATTTCAGCTTGTTTATTTGTGGGTATAGACCACAAATAGTAGCAAAGAAAGTTGGAAGTGAAAGGAAATCGGGGAGATTTGCCGCTTGGTTTGACATCTGCAATAAATCAAAGTGTCACTCGATACCAAATCCTGCGATGATGATGACATGACAGAAGAGAGGAAGTAAGCATTGGGACTTTTCGTGGTTGGGTTCATTTAGCCAACGATCATCGTTGAAGGGGCAACAACAACGTTGCTTTTAGGGAGATTCTATTATTTGCAGGGAACACTAATGACTCTGAAAATCAGTCGGTGGAAAATTCCGTCCAACTTTCACCACGCGACGACGACGGAGGATAATGTAGCATTTTAAAGTTGGCATTTTCTCCTGCACTGTTGCACACACTTGTCACTTTCATTCTTACGCATGCTTCCGCCCTTAATACGTGCATACCTCGCTAATGTTCTACATTATGATGCAGGCAAAAAAATGTAAAATTTTTAAATCATGTGAAGGCAGTCAAGTGAATGTGTCTCTGTACCAAATGGATTCCATTACGCTCAGTTTTTAACTCGTTCTTTAAAACTTAATGTTTCTCTTAGAGCTGAGATGTCAAATGCAATCATGAGCTTGAGAGAAAAGTTTGTGCACTGTGAATTTATCAGCGACGTAAAGATGTGTGTTATGCAACTCCTCAGTGATCTTGTACCCTACAAACAACGAGAAAGAGGGGGACGAGAGCCAGCCAAATATCCCTGTTTGTCGGTGGTCGTGAAAGGAAAGTTCTCTCTTTCTGCTTCTCTCTCTCTCTGTAGTTAATGTATATTGTATGGCAATTAGCAAAAAGCTAGGAAGGTGCCATAAGAAGAAAAAGCGAATTTTGATGCCGAGCACGTTTGGTGTGGCTGGCACAAGAAGTGCTCGAAATGGCACTAATTGCAAACTGATTGGTTTCTGGACCAGAGTAGAAGTCCATACGTAAGATTGCCATCCGTACTTTTGTGCTTGTTTGAACAAGGACAATATCAAATACATGACTTTCTTAGAACCGTCAATCTTCAGGAAAAGATTAATTTTTAAAATATTTCTTTTCTGATTTTGCTCGAATTCAAATGCACAGAAAAATGTCCAGTGAGGAGGGTGACGTATTTCAACTTTGCCCACTCACTCCCCATCACATCACCACCCGACAATTAGACCACGAACAATGATCATCAAAGAATTTCTCGTTAGATTCATTGCATTTCGGATCATCTCTGCTGGACGGAAATACTTTAGCTCCATCACATTCTCAACTGTAGAATGTCCAACAACCAAAAAATTTTCAGAGAAAGAGAGAAACTTCACTGGCTGACAGACGAGGAGAGGCAATCTCGCTCATGGACTCACTCACTAACCAAGAAGAACAACGGACATTAGCAGCAGAGAGAAAGGGCAACTGTCCGTTGACGACAGGAAATTGGCCTGTCTCTTTCCCTTGATGAGAGAGAAAACTCAAGTGGTACACAGGGAGCTGGGGAATTGACAGTCGTCGTCGTCCACAAAAGTGGCAAATACTTGAGTCAGTCAAACACAATGCCCAGAAATTAGTGAGGGTCCCGTGAGATCACATCACATCAAGACAAGACGACCAACATCATCACCACCTTTCACCCACGCCACACCATCACCACCATCACCACCGTTCAATGAGGAGATGACACTGCTCAAACTTTCCGAGAAGACTTGAATGGTGATGATGATGTGTCTTCTCTTCAGCAAGGGAAATAAATGGGGGAAATAAATGCTTAATCCAACCGGAGAGAATATCGCCCAAATAATTATCAAGGCTCAACTGGGCATTTCTATTGATGGGCGATTAATGAGAAGAACTTTTTCCGCAACGACATTACGTTTTCAGCATATGTACGTACAACTAAGGCTGCCTGAAGAAAGGTCACATTGGTCAAATCAACCATCTTATCCCTATTTTGCCCAGAATAATGGATATTTATCACGAAATCAAGCCCATGAACGCGACGGATTCTTAAAAAAAGTACTACATACTACCGAAAATATTTATAAAGGTAGATCAATAGATGTACACATTCCTTTATGCTTTAATAGGATCGTATCTAACACCACCATCCCAATAACTAGCCAACCCAAATGGCCAATCAACCACTAATTATTTTAATGACAATAATGACCCTGATGTAAAGAATGTTGTAAAAGATGAAGATGAAATATGGTTTAGAAAAGGCTGTTGAAAATTGGACACCTCATATTTTGTGACCAGCTTCTTTTCTCCAGTATTTAGTAGTTTAGCTGCCCCTACCACATACATACAACACATTGCATTTATTACAGGCTATAACAAAAAAGAGAGTAAGTGCGTGGCGTGAGCAAGTTCAGGTACACAGGTAAGTAAGGTACGAATGGGGTAGGTAAGCAATCCTGCGTTCCATAATATTTCTCCCCTGGTCGCAGTACTCGTCCTGGCAGTGGACGAGCATTAATAACCATAATGAAATGGGAGAGAGAGGGCTCATCTTCTTCAAGGGTTCACCCACTGTCAATTATGTTTTGGAGAGAGATTGGCATTTAATTTTCAGTCGGTCTCCCACTTTCAAAAGCATTCGACTCCATATGTCCGCAAAGAAAATACGTATGACGCAACCAGGAGGACGGACGGGTGGACTTTTTCCAACTCCCATTATTTTTACCATTTATTTACCTCTTCTCCTTGTCGAGTCGTCCTACTACTTCTACTACGATCCATTTTTTACAAGTTCTCATTTCCAGTCTTGGGATGGCATGGCGTGATGGCACCCTTGGAAGATAAGATGCTCCGAAAAGAGGTCCCCGTTTAGAGAAAATACTTGTCCCTTTTAACTCTAACTGCACGCGATGGGATGTGACCACAAATTTTTTCCTAGAGTTAAAAACTAAAATTATGAAAAGGATTTCAAAAGTACTAGTGACACGATTTAAAAATTGGCATTAGGAGAAGAGCTTACTTAATAATTATGTGTTGCTACAAATACTTTCAGATATGGTGCACCGAATATTTAGGGGCACGCAATATGGGGACGTTTAAGTCGATAAATAACTTGGAGTTAGTGCGTGAAAACGGGGAAAAGGCGTAACCTCTTTTAAAGATATTGCTGCACCAGTAAAGTGTTCCTCAATAACAATTACGGGGAATTTTGTGTAGTTATAAATACACGGTAATCTCAACTCAAAGGTCACATCGGGTCGAATTCGTATTCTACCCACATTTATAAATAGCTTTGTCCAGTTAAGCGTGTCAGCCTGGTCATATTTCATTTTGAAAAATTTCCAACAATTTTAGATCTCAAGTCTCGCGAGCTGCATACATATTTTGGTGAAAGACCATTATCCATTATTATCAAATCACAACAATGCGACCCATTATTCCAGAGTAAGTGGATTTCCATATGCTTCAATTGGATATGATAATACGTATGTAATGCGCGTGAAGGAGAAGTCAACCTTTATCTGAAAAAATATTTATTCACACCAGTGACAAAAGAAGACCTGTTCACAGATTTCTACAGGTGGGCAAGGGAAAAATTACTTTTTTCTTCAAAATTCTTAAGAAACTCGTAAAATTTCAAATTGAAAAAAGAACACCGACCAACAACCTGCCTCAATTTGGATGTACGTACGTACATGATTAGTTGACACTGGTCATGGTCAGCCGTCAAGAGTCACATTTCATTTTCTTATTATTCCGTCCTTTGTACCCACATTTCCATTTCCAATACACCCATCTGTCTCCCTTTATTCTCAGGCTTTTATCATGTCCACCTTGGCACACCCACCAGTTTCTCTGGGCCCGCTTGACATTTAAATTCTGGAGACCGATCTCATATTAAGCCTTCCCACCTTTGGGTCACTTTACCTTTCTTCTTTACCTCCAAGTATAGTTTTTTATGTGCATATGTAATAAAAGGGAGAACAAAAAATTGTGCATTTTCCAAGGAACTGATTTTTTTGTGTGATTTTTTGTCACATGCAGAGTTAGAGAAAACTACGCTCAGCTTGGGATGTGAGTCAAAAAAGTTACAATTTTAATGGAGATGAGATACAGAAGGGATAAGAAGACCATGGCTTTAAGCGTAAGAAGGAGTCAGGTTTCCGAAATTAGAGGTCCTGTCCGAGCAGGGGTGACGGTGACAGGTACCCGAGGTGTCGTAAGTTATAATTCTAAACGAGAAATCCTGCTGACATTTTTGGGGGATGGGACACGAAAAGTGACAAAAGATGTGAAGACAGGTCACAAATCTAAAAAATGAAAGTATTCTTGGGATCCAAATTATGAAGACGAATTTCGTTAGGATGCATACGATAAAAATTCTCCCATGTTTATTTAAGCGTCGACAGTAAGATCAAGTCTGCCATACGCTGTCTGACATGGATGGACAATAATTATACCCACATCGATCCATATACTTGAGTTTCCTGTCAAGTCGATTGTATTTTATTGCCATAAGGCTTCCCATTTTATAGCTGCTGATTGCTCATTATTAAGTTCAATTAGGAACAATTTCTTAAAAATGTATCTCACAGTCGTCCAGTCCATACTGCTGCTAGTGGGTATTTGTGTCCCACTAATGAAATTACATGTAGTTGAGGTAGGTATCAACCACAAATTCATGTTATTAGCGAGTTAATACTGCGGTTAGGTTTGGGTGTACGGACGGAATGCACCCAACCACCCATAAGACCCTCCTAAGGCTGATGCACTGTGTAGTTTTATTGATTATATTCGTATGAACTTCTTTCTTGCTCCTTTTTTAAAATCCACCTGGACCTGGTTTTACAATTAGTTGGGCACAATTGCATAGTAAATATACGGATGATATCCAATAGGAAACCAATAATTACAAGTTGGGTTTCAACTTGAGATTAAAATGACATGGAATTTGTTATGAAATTGTGATTATGTTGAGTCTGTGTACCTTAAGGGTAATAAATATTTTGAACGTTCTTTGGCATTAATACAACATTCGTTTTTTTATAAAAAACAAAAATTGAATACACAAAATCATAATTTGATGAATTCACAGACGACTTGTGAACAAGGGTCAAGTACCTTTTTGCAATGACATAATTTTTTAAGGAAGTTGCATTGGTTTCAGTTAATTTTAATTATTTTTAAACAGTTTACAATTATTCTACATATAGTGAGATATATGCAAAATACAATAGCTTCTGCCAATACAAACTGAACAAGAAGATTTTTAAATTCACCATTTAATAATTACCTGAAACTTTAACCTGCTTCGATAATTAACTAGCGAGTGTGGTTTCATTAAAGAAAGTAAAACATTTCCTATTAGATCCATTCATTACTTAAATGATTGCAGGGTCACAAGAGCAGCGGTGAAATGAAAGCGAATCCATTTTGACAGAGATTTGTGCACTTTTATTGTGTGCCCTCGTACATATTAGAGAAAAAGAAAGGCAGCAAATGCACCAAACCAAACCCCTGTCTCAATTTTCCTTCCAAATGAAAGCATTTCTTTCCATCATCTTTCTAATCTAAACACTAATTTCTAATGGACCATATGGCTTTCCCTTTCATTAAATCCGTTCTATGGTGCAATGAATAAAGCTTTCTTTGTGCCCTGCACAAACTTTTAAAGAGCAATGTATTGAAAGTTTTTAAACAAGATGCTGCTGATACCTTACTGATTTAGCTTTACTGTTTTTTTTCGTAAAAAAGAGAAAGATTTTGACTTTCAACCCGTTTCGCTGCCTTACTTGCTTCTATGACTTGATGAGTTTTTTTGTTACTTTACCTTAATTAATTTTCCAACTTGAAATTAAAGAGGTTTCACAGAAGAACAAGAGGGTTGGTCGTGTGTGGTTTTTATGTTGTACGTATCTCAAACTTTTTTAAAGATTCGGTGATTACAGGACTAATTTGGAGTTGGCAGGCATTTACCAAGTTCAAGTCTTGGTTCATTTGGGGTCTGCTGGAATTTTCATACTTTTGTTTCGATTAAGAAATATATGCTACTTGAGATTTATGCGCCTAATTAGTCGATATCTTATCAGTTGGCTAAATACAGGGTTTCGTTTCTTCGTCTTTTATTCAGTGACCTTACGTACGTATCGTATGCATCCCCCACACACGCAGGGGAAATAAAACCTCCCAAAATGTAATGTAAGGATGATAACAGTTCACAGAATTCTGATGATGACGACTTCAACCTTTGACATGAAACTCGCTAGAGAAAGTCACGGACGTCGAGTACTCATTTTCAGCAATTTATTCGTCTTATCCTTAAATATGCAGATTTAATGGGTCGTCGGGGGTGTACCCGACAGGTTATTCTTACATTTACCTTCGTTAAAACCAAGTTTAAATAGTTAATACGTTGCAAAGTTAGTTATAGCGTCAAGCGTGGACAGACTTACATAAAGTTCCCATAATATGGCTCACCCTCTAATAAATCATTAAGCGATGACGATGTCAATTTCCCTTGTAAATAAATTGTCATAATCAGGACTGAGACATCACTCATTCCGAGATTCCGACCCCATAATATATTTGTACAAGCCTGGAAGGCATTTCTATCTCAGAGTTTAAAACGACCGTAACAGATCCCAAATATTCCCAAACAAATCAAACAGAGCTACACGGACTGAATTATTATTGCGTGTGATTCATTCAAATCCAAGCTTGTTGCAATTTGTTCAGATTTAGAGAGAGTGGAGATGTGCATACAAAAGTAGGAGAGAAGGATGCGTTGAGTTGGTAGTAAATTGAACCAGTTTTCACTCTGCTCTCTCAATTTCGATCAATATGAAATCCCTTCTGGGTCATTAAATCTGGCCAAGCTTAGCTCTTCGTTACTTCGTACCACTCACCCTCCAATTTCCTCCGGAGGAAAGCACGAACAAATAATAGAAACGACTCGACAGTTAATTATTTCTTTGCAAGATTTCCTCACCCTCTTCGTCGTATTTATAGCCCTCCATATCGTGGTAGATTCGATGTTTTAAAATTTATATGGCAAATCACGCTAATTTAGGGGCAGTTGCAAGTTTCGAACAATGATAATTTTGTAATATTTATATCTTATATTTCAAATGTTTCTTGTCGCTCGTACTTTTGACTGTATTGTGGACCTCAAGGGTTACTCGTTTATTTTAATTTTTGTGGTATAAATAAACAATCGTGTTACATTCCATGTAACTTCAAAATATCGCTAGATAGAAGATTCTATGAGTCTAACTGCATACAAAAAGTAGTACGGCATTCGACCTCTAGCGTCAGTTGTGACATCCACCCTTCCCGTAAAAGGTTTCTGGTCGTACGTTCAGTTCCAGAGAGATCACTTCTTTCAAAGCAGCGAACAAAGCTCAAGCCAACAAAAGGGTCCATCATTTTCATACAACTCCGGTTCTCGCATGAGATCCTTGCTGAAGTCTCTGCACAGAATGAACTTTTGAATAAAGTCCTTGGTCAAGGTTGCTTAATCATGGATGTATTATGATAAATTGTCAAGCAATCTTGCACTCAAAGTTAGTGAGGAGAAAAGACCAAAATGTCTTTTCTCCTCACTGAAAGACTGCTGGAAGAAAATAAGAAAACTGCCTTTTCTAATTAAAAAATGATTATCGAAGGGTTTTTACGAGCCTGTCGACAAAAAATTGAAGGAACATAAAACTTGATATGTTAGGGAAGGAAGAAAATAATACGCTGTAGGTGGGTCAAAAGGTCAAGTTGTCTTTGATAGTTTAACTTTAACACTTTATCATAATGCTAAAAAATAATTCTTCAGTTTGTAACTGGAGTTAAACATCACCATTTCTTTTCTTTCTTTATTTAGGAACGACGACTGATTACTGAAATGTTGCTCGATAAGGATTTGGGCAGCCTCGAGTGGTGCTATCCGGATCGTCCATTAATGATCAATAGGAAGTACTCGTACAAATTGCTCAATATGCACAGCCCGGACAATTTTTCAATCATCGTGGTGGATCAGACTTCCGTGGTGATTCAAAGGCAGATTAAGGAGGCAATGGATCTTTACCTGCACAACATTGCCGGTTGTGCACCGGTTGACGTTGCTTGTCTGAAGGATAGACTTCATGAATGGGACCTTGAGACATGTCGACAACACCAATAAGAAGCATTGTGCTCAATTTCATGCAAATCGGCCGAGAAATGGCGAAATTATGGCATGGCGACGGAATTTGGCGAAAACAAGGAGGTGGCGATGAGTGTGACCTTGCGACATGTCGATAACACCAAAAAGAAGTCTCTGTCGAAGTTTGATGGAAATCGGACGAAAAATGGCGAAGTTATGGAATGGCGACGAAATTTGGCGAAAACCAGGTGGTGGCGATGAGTGTGACCTTGTGTCATGTCGACAACACCAATAAGAAGCATTGTGCTCAATTTCATGCAAATCGGCCGAGAAATGGCGAAATTATGGCATGGCGACGAAATTTGGCGAAAACAGGGTAGTGGCGATGAGTGTGACCTTGCGACATGTCGATAACACCAAAAAGAAGTCTCTGTCGAAGTTTGATGGAAATCGGCCGAGAAATGGCGAAATTATGGCATGGCGACGAAATTTGGCGAAAACAGGGTAGTGGCGATGAGTGTGACCTTGCGACATGTCGATAACACCAAAAAGAAGTCTCTGTCGAAATTTCATGCAAATCGGACGAGAAATGGCGAAATTATGGCATGGCGACGAAATTTGGCGAAAGCAAGATGGTGGCGGATGCGTCCGCGGGGGTCTACCTCCACCGGCCGGGAAAGCCCTGCCCACGTCGCCGCCTCTGCAACCCCGTTCCCCTAGGGGGCCCGTCTGACCCTCGCCTTACGAGGTGGGAGCGCACCCGTAAATCGGCCCCCATTAAGGCTTCGAACTCGGGAACCCGGCCGGCCCCAAGGGGAGTGCAAGCTAAAGAGCCCGGTCACCCAAGGGTTGGAGGTAGAGAGCCCCTCTCACTTGCCAAGCGCCACCCGCACTTTTGGCAAGCCCCGCCGGCTCCCCACCCGGTGAGCCTGCTTGGTGGGAGGAGCATTGGAGGGGGGACCTTCCCGTAAGGCTCTCCCCTTGCAGCGTTGCTCCCCCGGACCACCCCTCCAACGGGAAGAGAGTCGGGGCTGTGGGACAAACCACGGGTGGACCCGACTCCCCAGAGAGGCAGGGCGGTCCAGGGGCGCAGCTGCAATGGGGAGCTCACCCAGGGATACGTATGACAGACTGACAAAAATTTCTGGTGCAGCTCCTTTTATACCCTCTGGAGGGCGGTGAAAGTTTTGCTATAAATAGCACCCGGTGAAAGTTCTGCTATAAATAGCACCCAGTACTATAGCCTATGTATTAACATAGACTATAGCACCCAGTCATACTGGGTGCTATTAATAGCCTATGTATATTAATATCACCTGAGATAAGCGGCCTCACATGTTCCGTGTTTACAATTGTTACAAATAATTCATCATTAATAATTAATTATTTCAACGTTGTTGAGGTTGGGTAAATGTAGATTCTTATAGTTTTTTGGTCGCTGATTTCGAATCTGAGGTCAGTTTTTCGATTGCGACATCATGGGAAGGGACACAGTGCCAATTAATTATGTAAAAAATTAGCTACCTCTGTACAAAATTTCAGCTTTCTACGACAATTTCGAAATTTGATCCCAAATACTCACATGACCCCAACCGGTCCACCACTTGACCGATTTCGCCCATATTCGAACCCGCTTCCTAACTTTGTCCAAGATGTACACGGTAAAAATTTCAACTTGTTGAATGAAATAAAGCACTTCAAACTAATGGAAAGATTTGTTTATTGGAGTAAATTTGCAGTGGCGACCGGTTTCATAATCTTTCATCAGGCTGCATACATACAATGTGAAAAAATAGTAAAAAATTAAAATTAAATTATTGTAAAGTTATTGTAAAATTATTGTAAAATATATAAAATGACTTGATACCTTTACAAATTGGTAAATTTGATAAACGAAGATCTCTACTAGATAAAATAGTTCAAGTTCATCCCTAAAAGTATATATGAATTAAATTCTAATCATGACAATGCAATAATGTATAATAATAATACGTCGCTACTAAATACAGTAAAATTTACCTGAAACAGGGAGTTTTTCTTAAAATTATTTATAAAAAATATTTAGTATTTAGAATCGGAGACTAAAAATCCATGTGATTGTGTCAAAGTAAAAAGACGGAGTAGTTTATTGAGCAGAAGTTGGCGTCCTCGGTGATGATACGTACATACATATACATATTACATACTAAATATTATTACACAGTTGTCTCGTAAGGGAATTTACCTTTCTGTAACTTACTTTAACATTGAGTGTATTTAACATGTGTGTATAAATACGATCACTCTCCTTCATAATAAACTCAATGGTGAGACGGTTCAGCCGTTTTTACTATCGTGTTTACGGACGGACGAACTAACAATACGTCTGCAAGTAATAATTCGCATTGATTTTTATTTGCGTAATTTATTCTGGTATTATGCAGCACTGCTTCCTTGTCATTACATACGACTGTACACCATCTAAACATCTCGAAGGTCAGTGGCCGCGGAAGATGATTTGAACGCGGAAGATAATAATCCATATTCTCTAAACATATAACAAGTGAAAATGGCAAATGACCTCCACTGTCCCATTCTTACCTGCCCTGGACCGAGTGATACTGAAGATGATAACTGGATATTCTGTGAACAATGCACATCATGGTTTCACTCAAAATGTGTAGGCGTTGTTGTCATTCCTGAAGAAGAATGGATTTGTCTAGTTTGCATCTCTCTCAACTCAACCTCTTCACAACTTTCATCTACAGCTAATGATGACCCCACTAATCATCCGGTTCAAGCGGAAACAAGCAATCCTACCCGAATAAGTAAAAAGGACATCATTATCGCCGCACGCCTTTGGCTCCAAGAAAATTTAGTCGAGGATCCAGAATCCAAAATCGCCAAGGCCGAGGTCTCACTCCGCTACACTCAACATGTAGAAATAAAAGGAGAAGGACGAGTCGCCATTTCCACTCTTGGGAAGTATATTTTCAAACTCTTTCCTCAGACGACTACATGTCGCCCAGGAGCTCGGGGAACCACAAACAGCGCATATAAGGGGATTCGCTGGACAGACGCTTCACAACCACCCCGTCAAAATCATGAAGATTTGGGCTTCGTGTTCTCAAAGCTCAAGGGGACCGTACCAACATTACGGCCAGTACCAAAGGGGGCACGAATATCTGTCGCAGAAGCTCTTACCAACATTTTAGAAGAAGTTATTAATAAAAATGATGCAGAAAGTTGGAACAAACTCTTCACCTTCCCTTATGCTGTCCTCACCGTTCCAGCTAAATCTGAGAAAGTGACAAACTTGACATCGTGGGTCAAAATGAGAGTTTCAAAATGGAAGACCGACCCCACAACCACCATCCCCACTGGTCGACAACCAAGTCCATCAATACATAAACCTCAGCAATCCCAACAAATGATTTCAAAGAAAGTGGAAGCAAAACTTTCTGACGGAGATATCCGAGGGGCCATCCGTCTCTTATGCTCAGATGACACAGTCGCTCCATATAATCAAAGCACGATTGACTCCTTACTCGACAAACATCCTCCACATCCCGAACCATTGAATTTTCCAGTTATGCCTGACGTGGATGAACACCCAGCAGAAGCAACCGAAGAGGAAATTCTAGCCACAATTTCATCGTTCCCACCAGGGTCGGCCGGAGGTTTAGACGGACTTCGTCCTCAAATTTTAAAAGACCTCGTGGGGATATCTACGGGTGACACAGGGATGAAGCTAGTGAAAACAATTTGTAGCTTTGCAGATGTCGTCCTCTGTGGTAAGGTCCCAGATGTTGTTTGCCCCACACTGTTTGGAGCCTCGCTCACCGCCCTCAACAAGAAATCTGGAGGAATTAGACCGATCGCTGTTGGGAATACATGGCGTCGACTTGTTTCGAAAATCGTGGTCACTCGCATTACACCGCAATTGGTAGACTACTTTTCTCCCCATCAACTTGGTGTCGGCATAAAAGGAGGAGCCGAAATTGGAGCTCATGCAGCACGTCGATACTGGAGCCACGCCCACGACACTGCAAAAGCCTTTTTGAAATTAGACCTCCGGAACGCGTTTAATGAAATACGACGCGATTCCCTTCTTCATATTATCAAGCAAAGAATTCCATCCATCTACTCCTTTATCAATCAAGCTTACGCACATCCATCAAGTCTTTTTTATGGGAACATACTCATCCCCTCCCTTCTCGGCGTCCAACAAGGTGACCCACTTGGTCCAGGTCTGTATTCCCTCGTAATCCAACCCATAATCGAAGCCGTGACGACAGAATTCAATGTCTGGTATCTGGATGACGCGACAATCGCCGACATCCCGGAGAAAGTTCTACATGCATTTGACACCATAAGAACAATGGGCGAAGACGTGGGACTCCATCTCAACTATGAGAAATGTGAAGTTGGAGTTTTTGGAGGCAATCCCGATACCCACGACGCCATATATGACGAATTCCACAAAGCATCCCCTGGCATCAAAATTATTTCCCCAGAAGTAGCTACATTGCTGGGTGCCCCTCTCACCGACGAAGCGATAGAGAGAGTCATGGAGTCGAAGATTTCCCAGCTAGCAGCATTTGGGATCCGCCTCCTTCAACTTTCCGCCCATAGTGCTTTCTTCTTGTTACGAGCCTCCATATCAATTCCGCGACTAATTTACTTCCTACGATGTGCACCGTCTTGGCGAAATCATGCCTCTCTTTTGGCTTACGATAACACCCTCAAGTTGGTCTTGGAAGGAATCACTAACTGTTTTCTATCCCCAGAGTCGTGGATACAGTCGTCTCTTCCAGTCAGTAAGGGAGGTTTGGGAACCAGACATGCTGTGAGCACGGCGATTCCGTGCTTTCTTGCGTCCGCTCATAGCTGTTTGCCACATCTCGAGTCCCTCCTTCCGGACTACATACGTGACCAAGATGACGCCATATCAGAAGGTGAAGAGCTCTGGTCCGCAGATTATCGCCAACTACCACTACCCGAATTGCGAGGAAAACAAGCTATTTGGGAGGCTCCTTTAATCGAACATCGCCAGAAGACACTTCTTGATAACACCAGCACACCGCAAGATAAAGCTCGTCTACTTGCTCTAGACAGACCATACGTCGGAGCCTGGCTGAACGCAATCCCTGCACCACAACTTGGAAACCACCTCTCTAACGAAGAATTTCGTGTGGCCATCGCACTCAGACTCGGCTGTGCAATTTGCCAACCACATAAATGTATCTGTGGAGCCGAAGTATCCTCAAGTGGTTATCATGGTCTATCGTGCAGAAAGAGCGCTGGGCGGTGGTCAAGACACAGTGCCGCAAATGATGTCATTTCCCGTGCCCTTCGTACCGCAGAAGTCCCCTCAATAAGAGAGCCAGTGGGATGCTGCCGAACTGACGGAAAACGAGCTGATGGGATGACACTTATTCCATGGTCAAGGGGAAAAGCTTTAGTCTGGGACTTCACGTGCGTCGATACCTTTGCCCCATCGTACCTCTCCTCCACGTCCGGTCATCCTGGGGCTGCGGCCGTGTTAGCTGAGAAAAAGAAGAAGACACTATACTCTTTCTTAGAGGATCGTTTCATTTTCATCCCGGTGGCTGCTGAAACAATTGGAGTTTGGGGTGAAGATGGAATTAAACTAATTCAACATATTGGACAACGAATCACAACAATTACAGGAGAAATACGAGCCACAAGTTATTTATTACAACGTTTAAGCATTACTCTACAACGAGGAAACGTCGCCTCAATTCTGGGTACCCTTCCTACCGGAAAGAAACTCAGCGAATTTTTTTATTTATGAGTTTTCCATGCGTACTTATTAATCATTGTTAACAAAAGACTCTGTAAATAAAAGCAACATTAAAATTAAAAATCGCGAAGAGCCGTTCGTAGACTTATGCAATGAATTATTTGATAACAATTGTATTTTTTAATTGGCATACAATTTGTGAACAGCTCTTTTTAGATTTTTTAAATATTTTTCGTAGTTACCAGAAAATTTGAAAAATTACCAAAAGAGTCTCTAATTCAAATGACCAAACTGTAGTAGTCCTGCTTATCTGCAATCCTATTCCTCCTGAAACCCTGTACGCCATATAAATACATCATGATGGACACCAACGACTCTGCTGAAGAACTGAGTAAAAAGTCCTATGAGGTCGTAGTACATCTGAATGCTAAAGGTACCACATCACAGTCGTAAAGAAAAATGCAATGCAACCACATCACATATATGTACATATGTATATCGTACGTTTTACACAATTTTATACTCACGACAGCACTCTCCGATGGAAACAGCTCTAACTCTGATATATCCGACGATGATGATGAAGGTCGTCCCGTGTGCAATACTTGGAAAGGAAAGAACCACGAGTTGCATGTGATTGGAAATTTCGAATCTGATTTCATACGACGACTGAAACTTTATCAGATTCCACCCACAGTGCCACTTACTTTGGACCCATTTTGTCGTGTAGAAAGCAACTATCCAAGTGGGGAACCTCTGATTGAAGACGCCTTCCTTCTCTGGGAACACCCCCAATTTTCGGAAACCTTGTTCCGCAACCATAACTTGGAATTGAAGCAGAAGGAACCCAGTGAAATGCCATCACAAGACGAATGTGACGATGCAGAAAATTCTGACCCTACTGAAGATTACTTTGAAGACTCCTGTTCCGAAACTGAACCAGAGATCGGAGAGTACATCCAGTCTCAACGACGGAAAAAGGAGGCTGGGGAAAATGTGACCGGAGAAAGCCTAATATTCGACGAGGATTATGATATTGTCAGAAACTTGCATGCTGCCTCTTTCAGTCTCACGAGCTATGGCGGAGTTCCGGATGAAAGGATGCTTGGAAAAACAAAGTTCTTGTTTGGCACGTTAACAGAGGAGGAAAAATGCAGTAAGTACAATTTGTCGCAGTTTTGTCTGATTTTACATACGTCTCTATAATATTCCTAGTATTTCATTCTCTAGTGCTTCGAGTTGCAGAGGATATGAAGCCACAAATCGGTTTCACTAAGGCACAAGAAGAGAAAAAAGTTGAAACAGGGTCGGGAGATTTTGATGTGATGCGAAAAATGTAAATGATGTACTAATGCATTAGATTTCGATACATATTATCCAGAAGCTCAAAAATTGACAAGTTAATGAAAAATGATTGAATAAAGAGAACTATGTACTTGAAAGCAGGTAAAATACTGCTGATTTAAAAATTTTGTTATGTCACATGATTGAAGTGTCCATCACAGTACTCTCGCATCAAGATCAAGATTTTTTTTTCAATGGATTATTTTATTTTCGTCCCTTCAAGTCGTGTGGCAGGCGCAAATGGGGTTTTATTTAGTAGGCTCATAAGGACTACAACATGTCCAAAGGGTATCAAAATCTGGTGGTGAACGGTAGAGGTCCCCTCCTCCTGAGGGGGGACTAACGTTACCTGGATACTAAAAGTCAAAAAATCGTGCTCTCCTTGAACGCATCACTGATTTCACTCGATCTTTAGCGAAAGTATTCTAAAGTCAATGTTACCCATTAATTTCAAAAATCAAAGAGGATTTTATTCACGCGTGAAATTATTACAAATTGTGAATATATTTAATGATGATGACCTTATTGGTCCTGAACATCGTAACTTTCATCCTACTACTAAACTTGCTGTCACTACATTCTCAACAAGCTCGTAAGGTGACCCATTATCGCCAAAACCGTACAAGCCCTGACCTCAACACTTTTGACAATGTTGGTTTGTACTTCACTTTAATGTATATCATAATAACTATTAAATCATATCGTAATAATTTGAATAGGAAAACAAGTTGGAATATCTGACCCAATTTGCACTAGCGAATAAGCATCGACTCATCGACTGGAATGGGACTTGCGATGAAAAACTACAACACGCTTGGGTGTGGAGCGGCGAAAAGCACATTTTTTCTGGCAGGTTAGAAACATCTTTCTCCCATTCGACTCAGTGGCACAAACAAATCTGCAATTTCTTCCAGGTATTCTTATAACCAAGTAATAATGCTAACTATAAGTAATAAACCTGTCACAAATTATTCATTCAGTTTAATTCCAATTAAAGTATCTCGACTGCATCAATGGTAGATGCGAATGCGCAGGTAAACAATTTCCAAAACAGTATTTTCATTTTTATTTCAAACACATGAAATATTTTTGCTAAATGAAAATTAATTTCAGACGGGGACAGATTCACGCCCGTCTTACAATTCGATCCTGCTGACCATCCGGATAACGATGAGAAGAAAAGTCACATGAAACGTAAGCGTCGCTGTCGTGTGAAGGTACAATTTCTTACTGGGAATAAAATTTGCATATGTAAATGATAAAATGAACCCATATGATTTCAGGAAGGTGAATTATGCAATTTTGTTCGTGTCAAGAGTGGTTTTTTCCCCGGAGTGAATATCAGTGTGCCAGACTTTTTCGAATGTGTCGAACCCTTCGTTTGTGCTATCAAGGTGGACCCGGAGTCGGACAAAGTTACTCACAGACCCATAGTTTCCGAGACGTGTCAAACGGTTGAGAGTATCACTCTAGGGGCGAAGGTTGGGTTCAAAGCGCAAAGTGCTAGCGTGGATGAATGCGAGGATGTCAAGGCTGGTCGTAGCCCTCACCGTTAGTGTGAGAAGCTATGTAGCCCTGCGGTAGTGATGGGAGTTGTTCACTTTTACAGAGCGTGTGACCACTTCACACGATACATATTTATTTCAATCCATTCTCTCAATCCTGTTTTAAGCAACATTGTTATGATAATTTTAGTCGAGTAAAGCTCACTGACTGCGAAAGTTGTATTATCATTCAACTTGTCTTAATATTTGCATCAAATTGCGTGTAAAGATGAGCATGACTACTTATTATTAGTGCGGTTTAAGCCCTTATTTAAATAAAGTCGCCCTTGGAACACTTTTAATTGATGATCCAGTTCTCATATTCATGATACATGATACAAATGTACCTATCATAACAATATTTAAGCTATGTGCTGGTGATAACCCTTGAGAGAGAGGGTTGTGCAATACACAGTTTTCAGTTATGATGGCATCTCACTCTCTAAACAAAGTTCGACCAGACCAGACCATCGCCAGTCATGGATCCGAGAGAAAAAATGGCAGAATTGGGTCCCTTGGAGTGGGCGATTGTTGGAAATGGGGCATTATTGCTTCTACTTTTCGTCGTCCTTCTCCACATGGTAAGCGTAATACGCGTAACGTGTAATAGTAAATAATCATATCCTGGGTTTGTAGATCTGTCGTCTTCGCACCCTGTCGAAAAGGTCAAGTGTCGGAGATCCAGAACACGGCGATAGTCTGTTTGCTCCAAACTCTCCACATCATCCGTACAGCACATTTGTAGCACTCCCACCCAAGGACGAATCGCCTCTGCCCCCACAACCAATTTGGATACCGGTTCACTACTCCACGCTGAGCATGCCACCGAGGAGGGGGAGGTGTCAGAGTTGCAGAGTTGCGTCTTCCTCCCATTATCCACATTTCTCGTCCACTCTTCCAAAGAAAAAGTTAAATGTGGACTTTGCCAAATAAACTTGTAGCGATTATTTAATTTTTTACCATGATTGATTTTTTAGGAGATACTTAATAAATCGCGTAAAGTAATACTAACGCATGTCTTGTGAGGTTTGTTTCAACTGTATTTTGTATGTACTACAAATATGCAGATACAATTTAATTCAATTTTGTAATACTCAATAGTGCTTTGGATCATAATAAAATCATGGGATCCGAAAAGTATAAACGCACCGACATTATTTTTCGACACCGCTTTCTGATCATTTAGAAGATATTTAGAGCAGGGGAGGCAGGACAACGCTGTTAAAATGCCATGAATGTAATGAAATTATGAATAAATATTTTATCCAAAAGATAGCTTCATATCCTCAAAAAACTCAATGATACTACCATTTGCACTTCTTAACTCAATCAATTATTAGTTGTCACTAAAATGGAAGAGTCTCCCACGCCCCCAAGCCCTGTCGATGCTACCAGCGAGATAAATGCTAATGCTTCTGAAAAGCGGAGATCGTCCCTTGTCGAAATTTTAAAGCAGGAGAGATTGCAGCGAATTTCCAAGAATGCAGGGAAGAAACCAACCACCACATCAACCAAGTCCCACGTGGCGGAAATTGATGAAGATCAATTTGGCCCTCTGCCACCTCCCGACTACTATTATCGGACAGACGCCATGAACGAAGTCGTCGGCAATGATCAGAAACGTCTTCGCTACACGCCAATCGGACGGAATGCTGTCGAAATGGGGAGCCGATTTTATGTTGAACGCAACCTATTCTCCTACTTGGCCAATGCTTTCATTCCGACAGAGCAAAATTATTTTGACGACGATTTTGTCGATGCCTCTTGTTATACGGCACATCCAAAGTCATACATAATTCTGGGGGTGAGATAAGTGCGATTCATTCTGTAGTGATTTTACTTAATTGGAAGGACATTTATTTAGAAACCTGGGATTGGAAAGGCAACGCTGGGAAGAAAACTTGCTGAAAAATTGAGCACTGTTTTCATTGGCCGTAGGACTTATTAAATTTTGCTAACTTTACATAACATTTATGATTAAGTTTTGCATCTTGTATTAATCATTAGCCAAAGAAGTCCTGGAATATTACCAAGATAAACTACCTGGTGTGAAAGTGAACGAAATATTGGAAGCTGGTGGCACGATTGGGGACAAAGTTGTAACGCAGTTGATCCAAGCTAGGATTGCAGAACTGGATGTTTTGCACGTGTAATAATCCGAACACAAAATCTAACTAAATATTATTATGTAATATATATATGCATGAAAAGATCATTCGTTTGGGTTTCAGAGGCTACGTAATGGCCGGATTTCCAATGACTACTTCCGATGAAGTCAGTATTGACGAGCAGATTGAAATTTTGGAAACTTTGGCACTTCCACCACAATACGTTTTGATAATGAATGTGCGTAGATTTTTTGCCACATGCAAAAAAGGCATAGCATTTTGAATACTTTAAAATGTAATCTAGATGCAAGACGCAGATCTGTACAAGAGACGAATTGAGCAAAAACTTGATCCAGAAACATCCATCATTTACGGTCGTGTCCACTACTCAAAATTCAACGCAGATAAGAATGTATTTCCTAGCGTTGACCGAAATAAGAATGTCCCCCCAATGTCAGTCGCTTCCTCTGACGTGGGCAACGCAACAGATTTCAGTGAAGTTGCCAGCGTAGATTTGTACGTGGGTCCAACCAAGGAGAAGAACGACAAAATCATCGACCCTGACCAACCCGAGGATGATGATCCGATGGATGGCAGTCGAGACTTTCTTCCTCTCCCTCCAAACGTTATATTCAGACTCATCACCCGCACCGAGGACAATCCCATTTTTGTAAATGACGACTTGGAACTGTTCAGAAACAAATTATCCGCCATGCAATCTTATGTGGAAAGGTTTGACAAGAGGAAAGTCTTAGAATTGGACGCGTACTGGGCACCATCCGTCATTTTGAAGGTTTTTCATAATCATTCCACATGACCAACCGCATGATCTTGCAAAGTTTTACTCATAAATTATGTATCTCAGAGATCTTACGAATTTTTGGAGAGTTGTTGCGGCGTGTCCAATGTCCCTATCCCCGTTCAAATTCTTCCACCACCGAAAAATCCTATCGATGACGAAGAAGAGGAGGGTGAAGATTTTGAGGAAATTTACGAAGGTGGACGTATCGCTGAAGCATGCTCCATCGCCGGGGAGGATGGCATCCTTGGAGAAGCCGCCCCCTCTCGAACCAATATGACATGGCATACCGCGACTCGAATTTACGACACAGAGTTACGAGAAGAGGACCAAGCAATTTTGGAGGCACTGATGAAATGGGAAGATCTCGATAATGACAACAACCCCATGGGTATCCCAAACTGGGCAAGATTCCGAAATAAGAAGAGGAGCTCGGATGATAAGGATGACAAAGATTCCGAAAACAGTGAGGATGAGGATTCAGATGAGGAAAAGTATCTGACTTACAAGGGACACTCACGACCTGTCGTTTGAGTCCAGGGTACCCACCATGTTTTTTAGAATCTACTAGGACCCCAGATGAAGGATTCATTCATATTTCCGTGTAAAACTCATATTTGGCGACGTAGCGTGGCGCCAAATTCGCCAAAATTGAATGTTTTTATTTTTGAAACCGCCATAACTTTTGAAATCCTGGACGGATTTTCAAAATTTTTGGCAAAAATCATGACAAGGAGTCCAACTTTCTTATTCCATGAAATTTTTTCTAAAATTATCGCTTTTAACTTTTCGCAAAATTTCGCAATTTTCTTCGAAATGGGGGTTCGTCGAAAAAATCCTAAAAATATTGCAAAAATTAGAAATTTTTTATTTTTATTTTTTTCTCAAAAATTTCGACTTTTGTGATCATTTTAAGCATAAAATTTTGAAAATCCGACATAAACTGCAAAAGTTATGAGGGTTTGAAGTTGGTCGAAAATGCAAATTTTTAAGTTTGGCGCCACGCCATGGCGCCAAATATGAGTTTTACACGGAAATATGAATGGATCCTTCATCTGGGGTCCTAGTAGATTCTAAAAAACATAGTGGGCACTCTGGACTCAAACGACAGGTCGTGAGTGTCCCTTGTTAGAATTAAGCACTGTTAATTCATTATAATTTTCATATTTATGTAAATTTTTGACAGATCAGTCGAAGAAGAAATGGGAGAGGATCAAGACTTTGGCGATATTCTCACCTCCCTGGAAAACAAACCTGACCAGTACAACAACCTCCTCAAGAAAATGGATGGCGAGAGATGCTTCGGAGATACAAAGTACTATTGTCCCGTTACCTTCGTGGAAGAAAATCTCCTCCGGAAAGGGTCACCCCAATTTGCAGCCAAGTATCGATATCGCCTCTACTATTGTGCGGATGAGGTAACGCTACAAAAGTTTCTGAACAACCCGATGAACTATTTGTCAGAAGGGGAGCCACATTCTCCGCCCCCACCACGGATTTGCATTACGGGGTCGCCCGGTTGTGGTCAAGAAGCTGTGAGTTAAATCAATGGACACCTTTTCTAGACATGCATAATTTAATTATTATATTTTCAGGTTGGCCTCCAACTCGCCAAGCAGTACAACATTTGCTACATAAACTTCCGACAAAGGCTGCATGAGTTGACGAAAGCCAGATTGGGACGGGAAGTCGGCCCCAACAAGACGGGCGACATTGTGACTCGGTACGAGAGTGAGAAGCTCATCTCAAAATGCAAGTCTGGAGACGATATCATCAAAAGAAAGAACAAGAATACGACCGAAGTGATGAATGAGGATGGAGAAGTGATCAGCGAGCAGGAAGAGGAGGTTGAAGAAGACACCGAATATGACGAGGAGGAGGAGGAGGTAGCAAAAGTAGAAGGCCAGGAATTAGACGATGATGACGAAGACGACGACATCGCTCGTAAAATTGTATGTTAATTAGGAATAATTAAGTATAGGAATAATTAAGCATGCTAACCTCGCCATAAATGATCAATTATTAGACACGCGACTCAAAGCTTACGTTGCACCCAGTCCTTGACGAGACTAAATCCGAAGAGCTCAAAATCAACGAGGCTGCTCTTCGAAGTCTTGGACTTTTAGAGGCTGCTGACCTCAAAACCGTTCCCATCGGAAGTGTCGAACGCACAGAAAGATTGACGGAGAGGAAGTGGAAAAAATTGACGAAAATTGAAACCTACGCTCAAGCCTTTCTCGAAAATGGGATCCAACTCCCCGACATCGTCCTGGACGAGTATGTTCTTCCCCTCTTTAAAGAAGCCCCATTTAACCAGGTCGGCTTCATCATGGTTGGATTCCCTAACACGGATGAAGACATTGCGTACCTCGTGAAGAGAAATATCCTTCCGGAAGCAGTCTTTGTCATGGAATGTGAACAGCTCGTGATAAGGAATCGTCTCCTTCGGGATGCCGTAGATAAGTAAATAGCTTCATTTATATAATCTACTGCATAAAATTACTCCGTATAATATTTGTATTTGTTAGGTGGCACATTGAAAGAAATCCGACCGGGCGGAAGAAAAAAAGATTGAGTCAGATTCACGGGAATAAAATTCTTCCTCTGTCAAAGTCGAGAATGCGGATTGCGCTGGGTACTGCCGGAAGTGGAGACTTTCACCAGACTGGTTTCGAGTATCAGAGTGAAGGGCGTCCAGTCATTGACGAGTACGAGGAGGAAACTTGGACCTATAACGACACTATTAGCTCAAGTGATCTTTTATTTTATGATTCCTTGATTTTATTTAGTGTTTGTATATGTAATGTACAACTGACGGGGTCCTGTGGGCCTCAAATACGTAAACAATATTTCATTACTGTTTAATTACCATAATTTTCGTACGTGGTCAACCGTTAACCTCGCACGAAATTTTGTCCATCGCGTAGTTTGATCCCCACTCCTCAGTCCTCTTTGCTCCAATGGCCCTACGCTTATAACTATTTTTTCTATTTGAAGTGATAACGATGGCGTTGAAGCACTATCACACTATTTTCAGCAAAGACATCAGAACCATGAAGGTAATTATCTACAATTGCAATTTATTTGCTACTGAAAATTAATTGTTTGGTAAATATTTCAGATGTCACTCAATAAAAATCGGGTCGACTGGTTATCAATTAATACGAATCCGGATCTGTTTGGAGCAAAAAGCAAATTGGAAAAAATTATGTCACGATTGAAAAATAGGTAGGATGCAGAAATTTAATTTTTCTTATTAATAAGTAATTAACCTAAATAGTTGATTAAACGCCACACACAGATCTAGCATGTTTGAGGATACAGTCCGATTAACAATGACTCAAGCGAATACCATGCTGAACTATGGGTTATATCTGAGCAGATTTCAGAGATGGTGTCCAGTCGAGGTACATAATTGTCCAGATCAATTTATGAAGTTTAAATTTACTGATTGTTATTATTTCCAAAGTTGTTCAAAGGTAACACTGCCCTGAACATGTGGAATGTTGCCAATATTCCCAAAATCCCGATCGTTTATCGCAGATATGTATACTTTCTCGGTACAAATTATTATACATTTTAAATTTCTTGATTAAAATTCTAAGCTAATTAATTACTAAACTTATTAATTATTAGCTGGAGAAAAGAATGCAAACTATTTCGAAAACAATTGCTGGGAAATAATCAACCAAGAAACACCCATGCATGCGGTTCCTGCCGTAGTGGTGATCCGGTAGGTGTATTGCATATAATAGTAAGAAAATTGTATATTTTCTAATTCGTGTTGATTAACAGAGGTCCTCCAAAATCTGGAAAAACGACTCGTAAGTAATGTTCACTTCTCGGATTGTAATAAATAAATCTCATTTTATCATTCCTTAAAATGCGTAGTCGCAAAAAAATTGGCCCAGAGACTAGGATTGGTTTACATCTCGGGTAGGTTTCTTATATAAAATGTCGTTGATCTCATGACACAAGGGTCAAGTTTTCATGTACCAGCATCACTTATGTATGTAATTTTTCCAAAATTTTTTCAAAAGGGCCTGAAATGATCGAAGGTATCCTCAAACACTCGTTCGTCTCTCAATTTGCTGGTAAGATAATATTATTATAACCTATTTAATTGGATGGAATTATTATTAGTAAAGCGCTTGTTTTATGAAGTCATTTCATGTTATTCACATTTTTGAAACCATTCGCATTTGGTTGCGTGTTTATGTAACTGCTAAAAAATAGTCTCGGCAATTATGTTAATTCTCTTTCAGATATTTTGCACGAGTTGGAACCCAACACTCTCGCCGGAGCTCCACAACCCATGACGCTTGCAGAAGAAATTTTGACTTACGTCAGAGATGGGCAGACCGTCCCGAAGTTTATGGTTTACAGAGTTTTGGACCTGGTGTTACAACAGCCAAAGTAATCATAAATCAGTTGATGTTCTTCTGTTATGAAAATGTTGGAACTATTCTTTAATGAATGTAGGGCCCAATACCACGGAATCGTTTTTGATGACTACCCTCTAATTGAGGAGGAACTACAAGAACTGTTGTATCGAGGAGTCGTGCCGTCGACAGTGATTGAGTTAAAAATTGACTCACAGGAAGCGAAGGAACGCTGTAAAAGGAATAGAAATCCCGAATATGAGTAAGCAATAAGTTGTATAAAATTATACTGCAGTACAATTAATGTTCTTGTCAAGTAGTTTTGTCGACCTTCCGGAAGATGGAGATGCAGCAATGGAGTACGCCACGATGAAGTATAACACGGCATCAGAAACCACGTTGGATTGGTACGCCTAATATTTTACACGATCTCCGTCCCAATACTTTTAAAGAATAGAATTGTGCAGGTTTCAGAACGAAGTACAAAACACGACACAAATTGACGGAACTCAGAACAAGGAATGGATCTATCAAAAGGCCGAAGCGAAGGTGAAGGATAACATGAAACAGATGCAAACCTACCTGACCAATGTGTTATTAGGTACGTATGTACGTCATCCCAAAATGATAACAATGTGACCAATATTTTTTACGGTGTGATAAATACCCAGAAAAACCCAGCACTCTGGAAGGAACGTGTCCCTTAACATCTCAAATACCAGACCGTTTGTCCCCCGAGTATGGATTCTACTGTCCAGTCTCTCTCAACGAGGATGATGATTTGATTCGTGTCACAAGTTTTACAAATCTCTCCGAAGTCGTCGAGTACAAGGGGCACGTTTACATATTAGCGAATGCCAAGAACGTTAAAAAGTTTCTCGCCAATCCGAGCAAATATCTTCCTCCTAGTGGAAAAATCCCTCCCAAAGAACTGCCGACGGCATGTTCCCTAACAGTACAAGAGTTTGAGGATCTAAAGGGTCACCAAGGCTTCAAGGACTTTGACCCAGTGATGTACTTTGATGCGGACAGCCAGTAAGTAGAGTCAACACAGATTTCGCGTGTATGCAGATGAATAACTGATTATTTATAGGTACAAAGGTCTTCAGCGAGGCAACCCAAAATACTGTGTCGCTTATCGCAACAAGATCTACTGTTTTGTGGATGAAGACAACGTCAAGGAGTTTATGAAGAAACCTGAAAGATATTGGCATCAAACTCTGCCGGCGAAATTACCAAGAAAATCGGCTCCGTTGCAAGTAATTCTAATAAACTAAATATTACAATTACATAATGAAATAATTGTATCCAATTCATAACTTCATGCGTACGTTGTGATTTTTTAAGACCGACAAAGTCACGCCGTACTGTTACCTCATTGACAAATGTCTCCTCACCGACATAAAGAAAGTGATTCGACTTGCAGGAGAAAAACGACCTAGATTACCGTTCGTTAATCCGGACAAATGTGCCTCACTATTCATGGGCTACCACTTTAAATGTGAGTGCAGAATAATTTCGGATGTATGTAGATCAATATTTCTAACTCACCAAATTAATTCTAACTTACAGCTCAAAACATGAACACGCCATACGAAATTCGACAAAAATACCGAAACGCAATGTTTGAAATGATGCAACAAAAGAACAACTCGAAAAAGTTTCATTCTGACCTTGAAGAGCATTACGGATCTCGGATAAAAATGATCCCAGAAAAGTTGAGAACTAAATTGGACGAGTTTATGAAGCTGGAGTCTTTACCGATTGAGGAGAAAGTCCTCGTACCCACGATTCCTGGCGTTGTTCTCACCAGAGACGGAGCAGACGTGAAATTCACCTTTGAAGAAATTCAAATGCGATGCAAAAATATAAAATTCCAACTGCACGAGGCGGAAAAGAGGGATAAAGCAGAAGCTTTTAATATTTTCTTCCAGAGAAAAAGAGTTTCAGAAATGATGATGTTGGACGAAGAAAATGCAAACGAACCGACCACGATCACCAAGTGAGTTGATAAAGAAATTGCCCAAAATAATGTAAACGACATTCATTCGTAAACTGATGCTGGTACATTGTTAGATGAAAACTTATTCATGGTAGTAATAAATTAATTTACATTATATGTTATAATTTTCAGATTGTAAAGTAATCCTTAGAAAAACTATTTCATTTATTTAAAAGAGTTAATTAATGTTGGAATGGTCCAGAAGCTAGTAAAATATTCCTCCTGGTAAAATGCAGTGAGAACACGGACGTGGACTTGGTATAAAATTCTCCCACAAGTAAATTGTCACCCGAAATTTTCTTCACATCTGGTGGAATAGTGGCCCCACCCTCTTCCGAAATTACGTCTTCAATCATTTTCATGAAGTCCCAAAGTCGAACACAATTATCTAGGCCAGCCGTGGCTAAAATGCTTCCCTCTTTACTGAATGCTATCGAGTATACGTTTGCTTTGTGGGAGTGCAGCATAGTAAGTAATCCACCGTTGGCCATGTCCCAAATCATTACTTTCGAATCGGTTGCACTTGAGACTAAAAATCTGCCGTCCGTGGAGAAACAAAGAGTTTGGATGGAACCTTTGTGACCTGTCATGAGTCGAACACAGTTTCCAGAAACACAATCCCAGAGGCGGACACTTCGGTCTGATGATCCCGTCGCAACATAATTGGAATTTGGATGAAATACTATTGTAGTCACGTCTGAATAATGGCCAGCAAACACTCGGAGTGGTTGAGGTGTGTCTGTAGCCCAAAGTCTGAGACACAATGCGTTTTTAGTCAGATAGTAACATTAAGTAAGTATTCAAGGAGTGTTCAATCAGATTAGTCCTACCTTGCCGTCCGGTCATGTCCTGCCGACGCGAAATAGTAACCCCCATGCGGTGAAAATACTGCTTTCCAAACTGGAAACAGGTGCCCCTTATATACTACAAGACATGTCCATGTCAATAAACTCCAGAGACGAATACTTGTATCCTCCGAAGAACTGAGAAGCATAAGTTTATCAGGGGAAAAGTCGAGAGAATAAACAGCTCCGGAATGTCCTCTCAAGTAGCGATCAGACTCGGATGATCTGTCATCCATCATTCGGACCAGGACGTCATCCGCCTCTCTGTCGATATCTTGCAAGTCTGTGGCTTGCTTCAACTTCTTAAGTTTGGCCGGTGTCAGAGACCAAATTCGGATAATGGAGGAAGCAAACCCAACTCCCATCAGAGTTCCGTCTTCGCTCCATTTGATAAATGTTACTCTACAATTTTAATAAATAATTAAGACCAAACTCAATATAATTAGCAAGAAAGAATAATTGTTAATTGCTGGACATACTGTTGATCTCCATTCAAAACGGTGTAAAAACAAACTGATGGAAGTCTCTCTGGGCTGAGTGTGACTCGTTTCGCAGATTCTCGCAGCGCTTTTGCCTTCTCAATCTTGTCAATGTCCCTTAATTCTGGTAATGGCATCCTCGTTATTGGAGGAGCGTTCGGATCATTTTTTGCTTTCTTGTTCGTCATCCACTCCTTCTTGGACTTTTTCTTCTTACTCGACTTTTCACTCTGTGTACCTGCCGGTGTGCCCGTTGTAGCGTCGGACTTTTGGGAGTCTGCAGTTTTGCTTTGTGAATCCTTATCTCCGCCGCCACCACCAGTCCCTGCATCATCGTCGTCTTCGTCCATTTGGAAATTCTGGAGGTCAGGTTCTTTCAAAAGTCCGTAATAAACTTTGGTCTTATTATCGTGTCGCAATGCTTCTCCCATGATGTGCCCAGCCGTGACATGAGCTGCAGCTTTTCCTCGGGGGATTCCGTCATAAACTTCTACAAAAATGCGATCTTGGACAATATTTTGGATAAGCTTCAAACGTTTCTCTTGAAGAAACCGTTTTAGAAGACTTAATGCTTCCCGTGACATTCGAACAACATAGACTCCAGAATTTCCTATACAAAGTAAAATGATTAGCCTCCAAGGTTAAGACAAGATCGTATCTGATTGATAGATTTATGCATACATACCTGGTTTAGATACTCCTGTCAAACTAGAGCTAAGGATTCTGAACGGATTTTCAGAATTTATCAAGTGTTCTTTCTTCATGATTGTCCCAAGTGATACAAGGTCCGCCTCGTAAAACGTTTCTTGCATCTTAGAAAAACGAGAAAAGAACGTTGACGCTTTCACTTCGTGAGAGTTGTAGACGAGTTCCAGATATAAATGGACAAACACGGGCCAAAGAATTTGTCCGACTTCGTACTAGTTAAAAATTGAAATTATTTACACACATACATAAAATTGATCACAAAGTTGAATTTACTTATTAACAAAATTATTAACTCACCTTGTATGTATCCAACGATGAATCAATGAATGATTTTAATTGAAAGTACGATGAACTATATTCGTCTGGATTCTCGTCGCTGGCATATGACGAAAGAACGCTTTGAACATCTGTGTCAGACGGTAGCATTTTGGATTCTGATTCAGTAATCTGTGCTTCTTTCTTCAACCATTCTTCAGTTTGCTAAATATAAAGAAGTAGCATAATTTCAACAAACCCACAAACCCATAAAAATGTAACTCAAATTGAGTTACTCAACACGGCATAGTTAATAACATTACCTTGAAGTTGTGCTTCTTCAAGAAACCAAGAACAACCATGACCGCTTGTTTCTCTGACCTCTCACCACTGGCACCACTTCCACCCACTGTCCCCCCATCCTCAGTTTTAATTGCGCTGATAGGAACAGGAAGTCCATTCTGTCCGGCTGAGTTACTCGTGTCCATTGGAACTTGTTGCTGATTCTGCTGATGTGGCATAAATCCAGATGAGGCACGGTTATCATACATCCCTTGACCCTCCATTTGTATGGGTACAAAACAAGCAGAAAAATAACAAAACTAAATTAAAAAACAAAACAAATAAGCAATTTAAATAAATGTGCAGATAGAAATATGGCAAAATAAATAAACTTCTATAATTTTTTAGTGCAAAGGCTTCCCTACCTTATCTTTTCCTTGGTCAAATTTTTGAATCTTTGTCGTCCCCCAGAATTACAATGGTAATTAGTAATTAGTTAACAATATTTTATTTGCTTTAAAATAAATTATTTGCAGTCAAATAAAATTCACTCGCCGAACGAATGTTGATGTTTGACTGCATTTGGTTTTCAACCGCTGTCTTACGTTACCCCAACCGGAAGCATTTCACTTTCACTCACAGCTTTCACTTACTTTCCAACGCTCTGTGGATGCATGAATTTTCTGTCCGCTGTCTGATCACGGTCAAATTTTGTACAAAATTTAGTAAACTCTATGCAATTTGTCCAAATTTACATGAAAGTGAAATAAACGAGTTGATTTGGCAAAAAATTGTACATACTCGGACCATAAGTGCCCGTACATGCATTTCTGGTGATAAATCAAAAAGTATTAGAGCTATTTGCTACAAATTTTTATGGATGAACAAGGCACTAATATTGTTTGGAAATCATAACTCAGTTTTCAAGATTTTGTCCAGGGGCTTGTACGCAAGACATAACTCGTGACAGAAACTGCTCGCTCGCGGCACGCGCCGTTTTCAGGAGAAAAGGTTTTCAGACTTTTCGCCTTTAGAGACAAAGTTAATAGAAAAAAATTGCCAGATATTTGCTCTACGGAACCCTGACATTCCATTTAGTATGCAGAGGTCAATCAGAAATTATCGCCCTGGATCTGACAGGAGCCAGTTGCCTGGAAAAAGCAAATCTCTGTTTTTTGCCGCAAAGGGTACAAGTTCAACCCAAGACTTATTTTCAGAGTTTCCAAAAGCTAATAGTTAATCCCCTGGACTATGAACGCTTGGATAACCAACATTGGACTTTTCAAGATGCTCTGGTTGGCGACCATTCTGCAAAAAATGTCCAAAAGTGGCTTCGAACGAATTTTGCTGCCTTTTTTTCATCCCAAGAACGGTCCTCAGCATCTGCAGACCTTAGTGCTCTAAATTATTACCGGTGGTCAAAATTATAGATACAAGTATGTTCTAAATCTCACATAAGCGTGGATGGCCTGAAGTCATCCTAACGAAAGTGTAGAGCACTTATCTCGTAAAAACGGCGCGTGCCGCGAGCGAGCAGTTTCGGTCACGAGTTATGTCTTGCATACAAGCCTCTGGACGAAATCTTGAAAACTGAGTTATGATTTCCAAACAATATTAGTGCCTTGTTCATCCATAAAAATTTGTAGCAAATAGCTCTAATACTTTTTGATTTATCACCAGAAATGCATGTACGGGCACTTATGGTCCGAGTATGTATATACAATTCAGCCTGATTCTGGTTAAATATTATTTAAGGCTGCATGTTTTTATTATACTTACTCTAATTCTATCTGACATTGCATTCTATAATACTATTTAAGTAACAAAATTTTATTTTTTATATATTTCGTATAACTATGCAAGGTTGTGTGAAAGTGCTAAATATCTAGCACTTTTAATTGGATTACACGGAAGTTTTAGTGGAAAGCGAGGAAAAGTTAGGCTCTATTTGTCAATATTACGAATGCTATCTGCAATTCATTATCAAGACATGCGTAGAAAAAGACGAAAAAATTACCGCAAAGATTTCTTAAATTCTTAAATGCGAACAAATATGCATGCATGCTTATGTATATAATTTTGCGGATTTAGTTTATTATTTGATTATTTTTAAACCGTTTTGGACAAGTCATTTGTCTAAAGTATATGCTAATTTAAGATTAACTTGATTCTGGAGGTTGTTGATTAGTGGTTGGAATTGGATTGTCAGTTCTTGGAGGAGAGTCGTCATCACCAAAACAAATGGAAGTATACTCAGGACTATTTTTATAAATGGAAGGTGGCGGAGATGGCGAATTAGAGCCGGGTGGTTCAGATGGATGATGATGATTATGCTGATAAGACATCGGAATTGGAATGGTTGGCGTGGCCGACGTAACAAGATGTAATTCAGGCTGTGCTGGCTGAGGGTCTGGATTGTGTGACTGTAAAAATACTGGCAATTCAGCACTTTGTGGCGGGGGGATCATAAGGCTGGCATTTTCATGTGGTGGTTTGGGACTGCTGGCACGTTGTTGAGGGGGCTGATTATGAGTCTGTTGTTTTGTAGGGTGGACTACAGTAAACATTTCAGCTCTAAGATTGGGCAGGAACGAATCGATTTTCTCCCATGTTAAAACCCATAATTTGGTGTAGCCCTCCGGTGTGTGAAATACCCCAGCAGTGTCCATCACAAGTAGAAGATTTTTCAAACTTTCGGGAATTGCCTCGGTAAGGAGTTCACTCTTTTTATCACAATTTAAATATTTTTCCATATAAGAAAGAATATCCATCCATAGGGAGGGGAAATTCTCGAGACCCAGGAGTGGGGTCAAATGTTGAAGAAAAACTTTACAGAGTAAAGTTGCAGCACGCATTCCTGAAATTTATTAGAATCTTCATGTTAATTAATAAAATCATTAATTAATTATTTTATTCAAAATGTAACGTACGAGTCTCCTCCATTCCTTGAGGATCCATTGGATTTAATGGTTCCAGAAGTCGAGACATTAACGGGAACAAGACTTCGCTGAAACAGGAGCACCATTCGGCTGGAGAGAGCTGTTGAAGGTCGTGAACCAATAGGGCTCGTTGTAAGTAGGCAATTGCTGTGGTTCGAATCTGTTTCCGGCTGTCGGCACAAAGAGTGGCGATGGTTTGCAAGAGAGGTTTCCAACTAAGGGTCCAAATTGATTCAGTGGTGGAGAAAATGTTTTCCTTCTGCCACCATTGGAAGATTTGGGATGCTCGTGTGTGTAAGGTGTGAAGGAGGTCCAGTAGCTATTGTAGAGATAAAAATGCAAATTCAAAATTTGTATCAATTTCAAGGATAAGATGATAATACTACCTGAATTGATACGTGTTGACTAGCGGCTGCTTGATCCGCTTCCGGGTCGCTTTCGTAGTCACCATCATATGCATTATTTCCATGTGACGAGGGGAATGATTTACTTCTTGGAAGACTATCGCTTCCTCCAGATGACTGCTTCTTTCCACGTTTCATTTTCCGAGTTACATTTCCATCCACCATGGTTCGTGACTTGCTTCCAATAATTTTTAGGGTGCCTCTAATGAAATTTAAATTTTTAAATTAAAAGTAGCAAGCACACAATAATATAAATTCTCAGTTATACATAGGATACACATATACAAGGATAAGCTTGGTATACGTATAAGCTTAAGGCAAATGCACGAGGCAAACTGATAGCACTTTCTCTTCTTCATTTTGCCACAATGTAACCTTCGGAAATGTCAAGGTACCCCGCTTTCACTGTTTTCCCACTTCATACAAACTCCTTCATCTTCTCTCAAATACTCTCAATCACATTGTCGGAGTTTCTGAATTTTTCTCTCCACATAAAAATATAAACTTAGTTAGTTTCACAGTCAGTTTTAATTATGGATCAATTCGTGATTCGGCTAAGCGCCACCCCCTCGACCTCAACTACTACTGCCTGTACCAGCAGCACCGTTGACTCTCCTCCTCCCTCGCCAGCAGAACAACCCCCCGTGAAGAAAGCAAAACCTTCCGTCAAGGTCACCCCACCACAACGGGAAACTTCGGTTGATTGGAGAAGCAGGGTCATTTTGAGTGATGACGATGAGGTTGGATTTCTCAACTCGCAGGAAGAGTTTGAGAATTTGTATAGCGAGGGTAATGGTTGTCCTCATCCTCTTCTGATTATGCAATTCCTCAAATTAATATATATAAATAATTTAACTTGTAGGTCCACCCACCCCCTCCTCATCCGCTATTTTGCCCACACCGAGCCGACACACCCAATCTACCCTCTTCACAGTACGAAAACAAATTTTTAACCACCTCCAGGAGAAATATCCCTTGATTGAGTTCACCTTCGAGACTTTCGAGTCAACTGCCGAGTACAAGGATCTCATGGAATTATGGAATAAACATTTCAAAAAGTTTGAGAAGAGTGACCCATGGAAAGCGGCGTCTCCACCCAGTGTAACGTTTTTTCACGAAAATCAACCAGTGGGAGTGAAGTATGTTGGGGGGAGATTGTTTTATAAAGTCAAGAAGGAGGGAGAGAAATTTGGATGGAACGCCTCATTTTCCAAATGCAGGGTGGAAAATTGTGATGAGAAGACTCATGTAGGTCATTATTTTGTCATTATTTTGTTGAAATCATCTCTAATTATAAAATTATAATATTTATAGTTGGACGGACATTGCTACAAGCACAACACAGTGAAAAGGGAGATTTTGATGATTAGGGACGTGGCCAATTTGGACAAGGTGAACATGACCTTCGTTCAGCCGGCACTGAGGAAGGAACAGTTCACTGATCTCCGATTAAATTTATGTCTACGAGGAGCGCAGTACGCCGATTTCGCAATCGGCCAATACCTCGCCAAATTTCCTACTGCGTGGTTTGTAATAGAGAAATGTTGGGAATATGTCTCCGAGGAAAGCACGAGGAAGTTTCAAAGTTTAGGGGTATGTGATATTTCTGAAAAATTCCTCAATTCAATTATCAAATAAATATAACATTTTGTTCCCCCCCAGATTCTAATGTCTCTCATGGTGTCATTTCACAACTCTGTCGCTACAAAACCAGCAGAGCAGATCAAGTTCATAAATTGTGACATCTCCACAAAGTCTGGAAACTTGGATGAAGTGAATAAAACATTGGCATTAAACAACATGGGTTTCGAAATTAGGGATGACAACAACTCCCTTAATTTCGCAAATTCACCTCATCTTCCCACAAATTTCAAGAAAAAGCTCCCGTACGTGTATGTGGGGGGTAATAAAGAGGGTGGTTATCGATTCGGGGAAAATCATGCAGAGAAGTGTATGTTTGTTATGAAAGGATCCAGTAGTCACCAACGCGCAAAATCCACCACCATGGCGGGGATCGACCCCGAGAACAGGCACAATGTGTTTCAAGCCGACCCCACCACGTTCACAGCAGAAGAGAGTTTGAAAAAGTCGCTGGAGGTGGAGACGTTAGGCCACAAGGGGGTTCTCGTCGCTAATATGTTGGGAATGAAGACAGTAGGTGGTCACGATGTTTACACTTTAGCTGAAAAATTCACCCATTTTGATCATGACTGGGATGAGGATATTTTTAAAGATTTTATTGTTATGATGACGGGTAAAAAGATTGTTGTAAAGAAAGATAAGCTCAAAACTGTTCCGAAAGAAGTGGATTTTATGGTTCCGATATTTAAGACGGTAGGGGTTGGGGAGAAGAAGCGACAGGTTTTAGATACCGATAAGATGAAAAAGGAGGGTGTTCAGAAGAAGGTTTACGAGAAACTTGTTATTAATTGGACTTAAGAGCACTTGTTAAACTATTTGATGTTAAACTATTATATTAATAAATGAATTTGTTGGTGGATGTTATCTGAATTGAATTTTAGATTTGTTTTTGATGATTCAATTATTTGGCTTAATAAGAGAGATGTACATAAAGTTAATTTTTCAATTGAATAAAATTTTACTTACCTTCCGAGGCAAGCGTCTACAAAACTTTTAATAGCAGCGACACAAATTGTAAAATTATCTGGTGTGATGTGAGCAGCATCTCTAACGAGGAAACTTAGAGTTTCACAACTCTTCATCAACGCTTTTGGATCTGGAGTGAAATTAATTTGTTGTCGCTCTTGAACCAGAGTTTTGGCAACTTTTGATGGCGATGAGGATGGCGGTGTGACTAAAGGCGTGTCCTCGGGGGTTTGAGAGTGAGTCAATAGGATCCAACTTTGCGCTGGAGAAACGCCCGAAAGTCGGTGCTCATTTGAAGCGGTGGACCTTATTTCAAGCTCGGAGTCAGACGTGTATCCTGCAACGAAATGGATGAGTCAAATCTATATTATCTTTGCTCCAATTGATAAATGAATTGATTATACCTCTATCCGATCCTGAGCTATACTCTGTCGACAGTGGAATCGCGATAGGATCTTGGGATTGTGAATGTTGAAGTCCTGATCCCCCTAAGGATTTTAACGTGGAGTTGTTTATGGCTGAATCAGAACCAGAGGGTTGTAGTTGTGGTTGAGAAGGAGGAGCAACATCGACTGAAACAGCGGTCAGAGGTCCAGATGGAACTTTCCCAGCTCCAACGTATTCCAATAGAGCAAATATAATTGTCCAATCCTCCGTCGTGTGAATGTTTGCAGCTGTAGAACAAGAATACCAACGTATTTATAAAATTCCACGTAACCAACAAAGCCAAATTTCCCACCTGTCGTTTTTAGAATTTCATGAAGTCCAAATGAAATTTGTTGACTTAGATGAATAATGGATGATGGTCGCAAGTAGAGGAGGATTTTCAAGCTTTGGAGGACCTGAAAATGGATAACAATAATAACAATCGTACAATTAGTGTTATTTTCATCCAATAATTAATACTAAGTAAGTACTACTCACAATTCCACAAATGTCCTCTTTTCGCATCAACCTCAATGCCAATCTGAGCAGTCCTACAGTCGACCTCTCCAATAAATATTGCATGTCACACGTTGCCGACGCCACAATCATGGAAAATAAGTGTTCCCTTAAAACAAGCAACGATCAGTAGTGTAATACAAGCTTGGGATGGATTTGAAATAAAACGAACTAACCTTAACGGATCCCAAAAGACCATGACACGATCACGATTCTGAATGCAGATTTTTATTAAAACTTCTAATACAAAGACGACAGAATCCTCATCATAGTCCTTCCTGCGACTCAAATTATTTTCAGGGACGGGGCTGGCATAAATTAAATTCTTGATGAGTTCATTTAACGAGTCCAAGGGAAGAAACTTTGACTCTGATAACAAGAGTTCTGGATGGCATTCACGGATCAGGGTAACCGTTTTCTTTTTTACTTCTTCCTCATCTAGGTTGGACTTGCTTCCTGGCGAGTTGTCTGACGTGCTCAGAGCAATGTATGAATAAAGGCTGGAAAATAGACCAGTTTCTGGTCTGGGTGTCACCGTCTGCGTATTCCGGACGAGACTAACACGTCCACTAGGTTCTGTAAAATCTTCCGCATCCGTCAACATTTTAGGCAGAGTTTGCATCTTAAATAGCGAGACGAGACAATCGATAAAATTTTTCCACCCTTCTCGTAATATTCCTCCGTGACGATGAACAAGCTGGAATACGGTGTGGGACGCATTCTGCGCCTTTATATTCGACCCTAGGTCGGGATTTCCACTAATTAGTGTCGTAAACTTGCAGAGGGAGATGACCAGATTGTCGAACACGTCTGACATTCCGTAGTGAGCTGAGATGGTAGCACATTTACGAAATCCTGTAATGGTCTTGTTCACAATGGCAGCGTCGGTAGTTTTGTCGAAGATGAATGACAACGCAGCAACGATCGGGCCCCAGGATAAACTGAATAGGTCGTGATCGTAAAGACCTTCGTCCGTTTTGGGGCAGAGAAATTTACTCCTCGAGGTGGACCCTCGTCGAAGAAGCATTTTCCATAAATAGTTTTCCTTCAGGACTCCCGTATGTTCTGAATTATAGTTAAAAATACTCTTCGTGAAATAAATGTCTATTACGAAGTTATCGATTTATAATAATTTTGTATGGACTTACCAGCAGGCATAACAATTTCGTCCGACTTGATAGCATTGTAGATCTGATTTAACATCTCGGGATCGAATTCTTGTCCACCATTGACCCCTTTTAAATTCTTTTTGAACTGTTCCCACGTCATACACTGAGCTTTCACGTTCGTATTGTGCTGATCCACATTCAACATGATAACAGCGTAGCTGAGAGTGTACGCGGCATCAACGTTTACGAATGGGTTATCATTTGCGCAAGTCCAAACTTCGGCGAAATTTTCTAATATGTTGGAAATTAGGGGAGATTCGCCAGGCAAGCGGAACGTTTCGAGAAATAGTCGCAGTGCTTCATCAATCCGGGTTCCTTTAAAATCAAAGGCTTTGACGAATTCCCGAAGAATGTCGCCTCGTTTTAAGGCCGAAATGTAGTCACCGATAGTCTTCTTGTCGAGGAGGGGATTATCACGAAGGAATTGGGCTACTTCGGCAGGATCGAGAGGGGTGGAGAGAATTCCGTTCGTTTGAAGAAATGCTATTCCTTTGCTAGCATTCTGATTAAATTGATCACTTCCTGAAATACCACAAATAGTTTGAAGTTAATAATTTTCCAACACACATCCATTTACGCATCATTGTTAAAGAATTATTTCCTTACCCGTGTGATATAATTTCTTTTTATGTCTGATCGCCATCAACTGCTCATGGGTTGGAAGTTGTCCAGACTCGTCAGATTTCTCCAACTTGACTTCACCTGGCTCATAGTCGTGATAAAATACTGATGAGTTTGACTCATCTGATGAGGAAGATGACGACGTATTGACCCCACTACTCGTCGAATTCAGTCGAGTCGTACAATGTGACTCGATACCATCCAAAATTGATGCGAGGCCTTCAAGGCAGAGGAGATGGATGGAATTGATTCCCGTTTGCATGGGGAATGCATTCTTGGACAGGAGTTTAGTCAAGTCCTCAAATAAATTGGAACAAAATAGGTCACAATCGTAGTTCAAGTATAATTCTGTCACGAAAGTGGGTAGCTTCCACAACTGGGTTAAATAATCCAAGGCAAGCTCTCTCTGTTCATACATCCACCTACTTTGTTGGTTTTGGTTAATATTTATTGGGTTCTGTTGTCCATCTCCGATAATTTCCATCAAGCGGGTGATAAAGACTTCGAGTTGGTATTTCATGTCCATTCTCATGCTGTCGAAAATGATGAACAGAATTCTTAACACGGTAAGGAGGATGATGGACCCGTTGTTATTGGGAGAATTATAGGAAAGTAGAGCGATCAAGTTTTTGACGAGTTCATTCTTAAAAATGGCTTGAAGTGGTGGGTGCATCGCGATGGCTTCCATGTCTGATTCTACGGCGATAAGGAGTAGTTTTAGTCCAAGGTGGATCATTGTTTCAGAATTTTGCTTTTCGTGCGGATTAATCAAGCTGACCAGAAAACGGACCAGTTCTCTCACGCAAGGGATTCCGTATGGTGTGTTCATTTGTTTTAATAGTGGTTCTTCACCAGTGTCAGCACCATGATGTTGTTGGGAATTATCTGCTTCAACCTCTTCGATTTTCTCGAGTGACTTGTCGGATGCTGTGGTGAATCGGATACCTCGTTTGTTTTTAAATTCTACCACGTTTGGATTCATGTTTCTATTGTTGGAGTCTTGAGTGGGGGTGGGGTGCACAATGTTAATGACGGGAATTTGGCTAGTAGTAGTACTTGGAACTGGCGGTTCAGGAGTGTGGATATCACTACTGGAATTTTGTAAACTGGCATTATTTCCTTCAGAGGGAGTGATGGTTTCGACTTGTTCAATGTTGTTCTCTCCACCATCTGAGAATTGAAAATAGCAATTATCGTTCGTATAATGAAATTAGTAAAATAATTTAATCATGTATATACATACCTGCTGGCACTTGTGTGTGAACAATATTTGGTGTTTCTGAAGGCTCCGACTCTGTTGACGGGGTTGCCACGACGGGGTCAATATTCGAATCTTCCGTTTTGTTCGTTTCTTCCCTAGCTACTTCTACGGCCAATTCTAGTGTGGGGTCTAAAATCTTGGTCTTTTTACCAGTACTGACGGGGAACTCTTTCACCCTCATGAACAGCAATCGAACCATATCGTTTAACGCAGTTTCCGCCGATTTTCTCAACAACTCATTTGCGCGTTCTATAAAGCACATTCTAAAACAACTTTGCATTAACTCACAAACACTCTCGTTGGATAACAAGGCCCCCAAGGGACAGACGAATAGTCGATGCAAAACTTGGAGAATTTTCATCAGCACTATTTCATCTGAGGACGAATCAGTCGACACGAAATGGGCGTGAATCACGGCGTCAGTGATGGCTTCGGCGGCACTCGTCCCTCCATTCCCTTCGTTGACGAGGTCGTTGAGGATGAACTTCTCTATTGCAGACAAAGCCAAAGCTGTGACGGGACCGGAGGTGTCTTCAGACCTGATTATGTCTAAAAATGGGACGAGAAAGTAGTTTGCATCTTGAGAAATTTTGCTGAGGGCTGCTTTTGTGTTAATATTAAGGGATTCTTTCAAGGCTTGGAGTTGTTTGACAAGAGGAAAGTCTCCCTTCAAATCCTGTAGCACAAATTAGCAATTACTTAAAACATCACCCTGTCAAATCGGTACAAGTCAAGTAACTTACCTGTTGTGACGACCACCTCTGTTGCGGTGTCCGTCTCAGGCTGGCTGTTAACAGGGAGATTTCCCCCTTCAAAATGTACACTTGGCGATTCGACATGGTACATCTTCCCCAAAATGGGGACACTATGACTGCACCGGAAGCTGAACGGTCGTGAGAATTATTATTACTAATTCCCGACGACGAAACGGCTGTTGTTGTTGAGACTTGAGAAAGACAGGCTGGAGCAGACTCCACATTGTGTAAGGACGTCATTGTAACCAAATTAGTCCTGTTATGTGTGTTAGAATTTGTTCTTCATAAAATATGGACATCAATTTCACATCGTCCGGACCAACTCCTAAACAATATGCAACAGGCAAATGTCATGAATCAACTTTGAACCATACCCACAATTATCATTCAAGAAGTCACTAATGAATTAATAATTACTAACCTCACCTCCTTTAATTAAATAAAAATGATAAAAAAACACAAACCAGCTGGTTTTGTTCCTGACACTTTCTTTGCCCAAAAATCCACTTGAAATTGCACCTTTTCCTCGCCCCGTTGGCCACGTTTATTAGCGGACGAGTTAATCTAATACTGGGTAAATTCCCTGCCCAATTAACTAATTGCACATCCACTTTGTGCACAAATTTTATCTTTAATCTTTTTTACCTTGGCAAGTAAAGTCGAGCGAGTGGAGTGACGTGTACCAGACAGCAATATTGATCAAATGGTCAAATACCCGCACCATACCACCACCATCACCATCTAAAAATCTGCACGTTCCTTTAGTACGCGTGTTATTACACGTTCGCTTAATGAAGATCTATGGACTTTGTATGAATTCATGAGCTTTCTCCTCCAATTTCCGCAAAATGTCGGGTATTATGTAAATAAATGAAGCAATAATTACCATATTCACGTCTATGCATAATGATTTATTTATCAGAATTAAATTATTTATTAGAATTAAGTTTACTTAGTTAGTTGACGTCAAACGTTTAAATTATTTTGTATTATAGTCATTTATAATAAATCAATATTTGACGGAATGTTTGAAGTCGATTTAATGCAGGAATCCTCCAGTTTCGAAGTTTACATTGTTTTATAAAATATCAAGGCTTCATAATTATGAGACCTTCGTAAAGTCAAAGTCCTTGCTCTTTGTCATTTGATGATGTCATTTTATTACCCAGTAATTGATTGTAATCTTAAAATAATAATTGTAATATGTTCGTAAGACGGGGTTAATTTGCTGCAATATCTTGTAATTTCATTGATATATATTTCTATCCCATCATGCGTAGGTCAGTGGTCATTTGCAGCACTGTGGCGTTCTTGCTTTCCGTGGCTCTAGTTCAAGTGGAGACGGTAAGCAGGGTCAAATTAATGTTCAATTGGTGCATAAAATATTACACATTTTTAACAAATATGTACATTAAGCAGCTAAACCTTTCCGAATTCTGGGATTGGATTTCTCATCCAACAGCAGAATCTTTTTCTGCGAAAAATGTTGACAAGTTTCTCTCAGACCAGGAGAAACAACTGCTAAAAGAACAAAGGGAGCAACTTCCTCCCAAGTCGGAGGGAAATGGCCTTGAAGACGATTTAGACTACCCGGAAGAAGTCCACATATCCCGATGGAAGAGAAGTCCCCTGGATGACCACGCGGTGGAAGGGTACGAGGACGAAGTGGAACCACAGGAACGTTTCAGCCGAATGATTATGAACAAGACGGAAGGCAATACGACGCTAACGATTAAGGAACTCAACCCTGGATATTTTGAACTCAAGCATAAGTTTGAACATCCCGAATTGTATCCTAAGGGGAACACAACGGATGGAAATGCGACGGCTCCTGCTCCTCCTGCTGGTGCATAATTGTTTTAAATGTTGAAAGTTTATCGATTAAGATTTCGAAATGTTAAATATTTTTTCTATTTTTCTTTACAGCAGGCACTCCAGCACCCCCACCAGCATAATTTATCCATTTATTCGTCTGTTTTATACACATATTTCTACTTTGAAAATTATATTCGTTAATAGTGCATACATATCAGAACATTTATGCATTGTGAAATGCTCAATAATTATAATCTGCATGTTCTAAATATGTATAAATGTATAATTAATTTGCTTGATTTGATTGATTTTCGAATTGCGTTGCTTTACTTTCAATGCCTCATTTTTCCTAAAGCATGTAAAATTAAAATTGCTCGTGTAAATATTTAAACCAACGATCAGATTCAAAGCAGTTCTAATTGGACACTTTCAATTTCTTTAAAATGTACAAATCAAATTTAACGTGTTTTGAAAATATGTATGCGCGTAAGTGCTCTTTTATTGAATAGGTATTATGCCAGCGTAATTTTTATTCAGAAAAAATGACGTGAAATAGATACGCAGGTATTCGACGGAAACTATTCCTATTCAAAATTTAATTCTGGAACCGTTCTCCTGAACTTGTATCCAGTTTACTTCCGTGACTTGGCTTAAGTTACAGTCTGAAAGAAGTATTCTTAACAGAATTTCTCATTAAAGTAAGAAATTCTTATTCTCAAATCAAGACTCCTTTGATTTTTTTTCTATTTCTCTGGCTGAGGTTTTCATCTAAAGAAATATACTAATGACGACTATCTGATGATGAGATTCGAGATAAACGTAGTCTTTAGTACTTTAGTATTACACACATAATTATAAAAATCTCCTTGATCTGCTTTATTACTGCACATACAGTAAAACTTTTCTATTAGCCATTTCAATTTCAACGCTAATTTAAGTGAGCCTTCAGTTTAATTGTAACACTTGTTTCTACAAACTTCTGGAGTACTTATGCAAATTCTGATCTAACAGATTTCTATTACACGAAATTTTTCACGTAGCTGTGATATTTGCAATCTTTCATTGAACTCAATGACAATTGTGCTGTGAATAACTAAGTTCAGACTTGAAACGCAATATATTTACCATATCGCACTAAAGCTAATTTTATCTAATTATTACATGCATAACTAATTCATTGCATAATAGTATTTTCATATTTTTAGTGTTTCCCCTCATCCTACTAATAGCAATTTTGGCAACTCATCGTCTCTCACAATAATTCTTTAAATACATGCATATGTAGCCTCCCTTTATTACTGCAGTCATATTTAATTCCACTAAATAAATACCGAGATCGACATGCATGTCGCAATTAATCAATCACTTCAAACGCATTGCTAACTCATTAAAGCCTAAATTACTACATCGAGTACAAATATATTGCATAACAGTAATCCAACAATTCACGTACCTACGATAACCTAATCAGCTTTTTACTTGTGAATAAATAAATTTGAATATGTAAAAGAAAGAACTCACAAGAACGCACATATCGTGACAATAAATCGTCAGAAGGTGTAAAATATAATCAAAAGTGCTAATTCCTCGACTCGTCGACTGTGATCTGATCTCCAAGTCACAATTGTTACATCAATCCCACAACCACACCACCCAAGAAAAAAAAGTATATATTCAAAATCTTTGAAACAATAAAAATATTAACTCATACTTTTCAAATCATAATAAAGAATTGTACTTGCAAGTATGTTAAGGTTGCAGGGATGCAGGGTTAATTATTCGCTCTAATCAAGCCGACCGACCAACGACCTAGGAAGATGATTATGATGATGACACTCATATTTATGCATTTCATTCACAGAAATCTTGTCGAATTTTCATGAGAATTAAGGAAATATAATTGGAATCGTATTACAAACAAAAGCATAACATTTATACATATGCAACATCATTATGCAAATTGTGTGTGATTAAAGGCTTATTTCGCATCACTGTACAAACCATCTCAACAAAAGGATACATACAAAAACATGTGTAGTATATCCTTAATTATTTTATGGGCACAAATTATTCGATGTTTCCACCCATTGCTGCTTGAGAAAAGCCACCAAAAATAATAACGTTGACACAGATTCGAGATTCATTCAAGTCCACTTCATAAACGGAAAGCAAGTTTGTAAAGGATTTGAATTTGGTAAAGTGTAATGTTTTTTGTGGTATGCAATAAATTATTGCACTGCACTGCACAACTACTACCGGCAATTGACTTGACTTTTGTTCTCGCATGCATACAAAGTGATAAATTAAATCAATCCTTCCATTTTTCTTCAATTCACTGGTTGAATCGCCGTTTCGAATACGAAATCAATAACGCATACGTCGCGACGATATGTGCAGTCCCAACGGAGGAAAATAATTGATGTATTATTTTCTTCTTATTGAATCTCTGCCTGTTTGTCTCGTGTTTTGCATACAATTAATTAAACGCCATACATTGCATTGTCAGGTGTCATCTTTTCAGGCTCTGCTGCAGTACATTGACATCTCGCTCGGCATGACGAGAAAGATTTCAACAAGCAACTACACATATTGTCAATCAAAAAGCGAATAAGCTAAGAGAGAAGAATGAGATCGGTAAGGCACAGGTGGTTCGAATTGTTAAGCTGTTTTGCACTGGATGGATTTAGTTGAACATTCATTGTTGGTGAAAAATCAGCTAATACAATCAGCTTTGTGGTACCATGATTGTTCGACGGAGGAGAAAATGAACCCCAAAATAAACGAATTCTTCCAAGTTGGATCTTTAATTCTTGATCGTGTAGTATGTGCTGTTTGGCACGGTGTGTCATGACAAAATGGAAATTTTTAATTTCAACAGGACAAACTTACAATGGAAGAGATGTGATAATGATGATGACAATTAATGACTGTCAATTCAATTATTCAAATGCGTAATGCGGATGTTCTATGTATTTAGATGTATAAAAGTAAATGGTATGTTTACTTTGAGTTTGCACACTTGCCAGAAAAGGATGCAAAGTACTTTTGCCTTATTATCGAGAAGAAATATATTTAGTTGACACGTAACGCGTAATCCTTGTAGGTAGATGGAATTTCAAATATTGCCTTATCGAAGCCATTATTATTATGTCTTGCGCAATTAAACGAAAATTTATATCTTCGCTGACTCTGAAATTGGTGAGAACTAAATATGTATTTATATTACGGTTAAGTCAATAAAGTCGTAAAAAATGTTCCTCTTTTGGCAACCGCAAATTGTTTGGAGAGACAAATTTCAAAATTTGGTGTGCATAAATTAACACAAATAATGTCTAGATTGATTAAGGCAACTTCAATCCAAAATCTATGAAGTTTTACAATAAAATTAAGTACAAATTATGGCAGTACAAGGTTTTTAAAAACGTTATCTACTGTCCAGTCCAACTCGTAAAATTAATAAATCTAACATAAATGCAGATATGTGAAACCAATATTTCAAACATTTTCAAATTTGAGACTTGAATGTTGCAAGTTCAAAGTGTTTAATAATACGCATTCATTCTTTAGAATATTGTCATCACTTTATAGTTAACTAGCGTATAGCCCGGCCAAGGCCGGGTTCTAGAGTTCCAGTGGGGGGTGTGCCCAAAGCGAAAAATCCGTCATACTATATTTTAAATAATTCCCAGTGGAGACTTTGTCATACTACATACATACATCAGACTGAGGGTTTGCCCAAGTCATACTGCATTTTAATTAACCTGGTCACAGTAAAATTTGATTCCCCCCTGTGGGAGTAGTTGAATAGCTAATTACTTAAATTCCCGTCGCGTGGGAGTAACTGCATAGCTAACTATTTAAATTCCCACGCTTCACGCTCCCGTTAAGTTCCATAAACCCCGTTAACTTCTACAATTAACGCCAAGCTATTGACGGATTCGGATTCAGCGTCAAAAATACATTCGAATTGATATGCGACATCACGAATAAGCCAGATTTGGACACCACGGTCACGGCGAGGTCACGGGGGCCTCGCAGGTCAAAACCATTGACGGCGTTGGATTCAGCGTCAAAAATACATTCGAATTGACATGCCACTCGCTGTGGGTAGAGTTTCTCAAACTAAAATAATTAATTAATAGTGTTTATCACGATCACTTATCATGATAACCACTATTGATGAGTGATGTATGTATGTGGGGTGTACATGTTCATGTATTCATTTATTCATGCAGTGCAGTGCATGCATGCAGTGGTTGCTCCGCTTCCTTCTTTGTCTACTGTATGGGGCAATTTGCATTGCGAAGACGGACCCAGGGACCCAGGGATCATACTAACACTTTATTAGAGTAGATGACATCGGACGCATGACATTTAACAGTATATGCATATTTATAAAAGATATAAATATAATATTGTTGATGATGAGAATTGCTACATAAATATGCACGTGACCCAAAATTAAACCACCATTTGCCAATTAAGTATACCTCATGGGCCATGTAGACAGGTGAAATGTTTGTCGTAATGAAATCAAAGAAAACCCATACCTCAACAAGTAACAAAATAAAATTTATAACTCAACATTCGATTATTCTTGCAAAATAAAGCATGTTTAAAATCTTGAAATCTTGCATTTGAAAAAGTCATTAATAACTGCAACCGACTGACAGCTTTTTGGCGACTCTTCCACCAGGCCACCCATGATCTTCTTAAACCAAAACCATTCTCAAAGTCAATATATGACTCGTAAGTAACGAGTTAAAAAAATCCAATATTTGATTTCTCTCCTTAATAATGGGCGAATTTATATTAAATTGGTTTATGATGTGCAAACCTTATTAAATGTGCCAAATTGTTGTTGAATGAACTGTGGGAATAAATAATTCTTCTCCTTTTCATCTCCTAACTACTCCTTTATTACGCAATCAACTGACACGACAAGGGGGAAGCGATAAGCCGAGTGGAAGAAGAAGAACAAATGCAAATTATGTGCTACGATGAGATTTAAATTTAAAGAATTTTCTGGTATGGATGACAGTTTTTTGTGCTCAGCCATACAAACATACTTATGCTCACATTGTTTAGCTGAAGACTTGTTGGCAGACAATTGAAAATTTTGCAACACATCTCAAATTACTTGATAAATTGAATAATAAAATAAATAAAGGATGATGCGAAAGACGACCTGTTCGTCGCAAATTCTGCAATAAATGACTCCCAAAATGCATCATCTTTTCATTTTCCTGCCGGTATAAATAACAAAACAATAATAAAATGGATTCCTAATGCAGAGACACGTCGCTTAATTTGACTCTTGTTGTATCAGTCGGCTACTCATTTTTTGCATCAAGTCTTACATAATTTTCTCAAATCAGGCAAATACGAGTAAATCATGAAATTAACCGTCACGAATTGACATGAATTAATAAATAAGTGAGTAAGCATAACTAGGAAGAATTTCTATCTGATTCTTCCAACGCCATGTTTCTTTTGTCAACCACCTAACCATACGACGAGTCAATAATGAAGTGACATTAAGCAAAAAATCTGGAATGCTAATATGTTTTTGTCTGCAGCACGTACATATCGAGATCAAAGATTATTTGGCCATGTGGAAAAATGGTAGCAGCCACAACAGGGATAATAACGTTGTCAAATGTCAAATGAAGTGAATTTTTACGGCCAACCATTTTGATAGATAGTGACGAGATATGACATATGCTTGTTTTGTGCGTCCTTAAATCTGCAATTATAAAACAATCTGTCTAGTTTGACTACATCTTTTTTTACGCATTTTTAAAAGCAGCAGACGTGACAAGATCCAGATAAAAGCTTGATCTTCTTATTATTTAGTCATTCATACGAGTGCAGTGTTCATTTAAATTAGAAAAGATCGAGCAGAGAGCCTTGCAGTCTGTCCTAGTAAATGTACATGTGAGTACATACATAGATAAGTAGACGAGCTATCTTGTTTGTGAAATGAAGACTTCAACTTCGAGAAGTGTGGGTGTCACATTTCACTTTCGATTTGGACCAAATATCACATACGAGGATCTGCAGGGTTATAATCTTTGTCAGACAGAACTGAACATCTTGTAAGGCAAGGAAAAATTGAATTAGTTTCCCATCATGGCAAGAAAAGCAAGTCCCGTATTTTCTATGTTTTTCTCTCCTG